CTCAGTGTACCGATTTGCATATTGATAAATTGTCACCCTTTCCTTATTTCGGAACTGGTGAATTTTGTGGCTGAGTTCAAGGATCCCGGAGCTAAACACATGTCACTATATTAAGTGAATCAAATAATAAACAATCTGTGTGTTAACATGTGGCTTTTCAAATTATGTTTTTGCTTAAATTTTGCATTGCAAGTGTCACATTCAATTGGATAAATATCCGAATGTGTTAGTTTGTGAATCTTTAAATCGGCTTTCCATTTAAATTTTGATTTGCAAGTGTCACATTCAAAAGGATAAATATCCGACTGTGTTGAAATGTGCCTTTGTAAATTACTTTTCTTCAAATTTTGCCTTGCAAGTGTCACATTCAAATGGATAAATACCCGAATGTGTTAGTTTTGTGTATCTTCAAATCGCGTTTCTGTTTAAATTTTGATTTGCAAATGTCCAATTCAAAAAAATTAAATATCCAAGTGTATCAATATGTGTACCTTCAAATCGCCTTCTCTTTTCAATTTTGCATTGCAAATGTTACATTTGAAATTCTCCTAATCCGAGTGTGTTAATATGTGGCTTCTCAAACTACGTTTGTGTTCAAATTTTGCATTGCATATGTCACATTTAAAAGGATAAATATCAGACTGTGTTAGTTTGTGTCTCTTTAAACAGTATTTTCTTTTGAATTTTGCTTTGCAAATGTCACATTCAAAAAGATAACTATCGAAGTCTGTTGATATGTGACTTTTCAAATTACCTTTTTGTTTAAATTTTCCTAATTTAAATTTTTCTTTAAATTTTGCATTGCATATGTTGCATTTAAAATTCTTCTCGTCCAAGTGTGTTAGTTTGTGTCTCTTCAAACTGCCTTTTTTTTTAAATTTTGCTTTGCAAATGTTGCATTTAAAATTCTGATTCTGCTTCTGAAATGATAATTTAGACTGAAGTGCCCATTTTTACGCATAAAAAATTTATTCAATTGATTTTGACCCCCCCCCCCCTACATATTTTTCTGCGGGCGCCCCTGCGTGCCAATCCACAGACTGGCTCCTTTAGCGAAGCGGCAAGTAGCCTCAGTAAGGCCGTCATCGGCAACAGACATCCTGAGCTAAAAATTGATCAAGAGCGGGCAGATCTGATTAAAAACAAATTGGAGGAAGAGGTCTTCGATGCGCCACGGGCAAGCAGCGAAACACTCCAATTTAACAGAACCACATACCATGCAGGGGTTCTATGGATGACCTGCGGCAATGAGGCCACCAAAAACTGGCTGGGACAGGTGGTGAAGGGATAACTCTGGCAGGGGGCAAACCTGAAAATGGATGAAGTCAAGGACCTGCCAAAGCGACCACTGGTGCTGACCTTCATTCCTGGAGCCGAGTCAGTTAAGGAAGAAATTATCAGTACACGTCTTGGCAGACAGAACCGGGAGCTCAAGCAGGCCGACTGAAGTCCAAGAAGGCAGGAAAAGGAGGACGGACGCTGACGTACTGCATGCTCTCCATAGACCAAGCGTCATTTGGGGCTTTGCGGGCAAACCAATTCAAGGTATTTTATGGACTTGCGAGGTTGATCGTCAAAGTGCTGAGGGATCTCGATAGAGGGGATCAGGGTCCTTCAAATAAACCTGCAGCACAGTACAGCTGCCTCTGCCGCTCTAACTAGCACGAAATTGCACTTGTACAGGAACCATGGGTAAGTAGAGGGAAAATCGCAGGGCTGTCGAGAGTCAATGGAGAGCTAATATACAGCAGATTCACTGAAACCCCCAGAGCTTGTATACTAGTTAAAAAAAAAAAAAACATAAAAATGTTACGGCTAAAGGAATTCTATTTTAGGGACCTTGTTGCGGTAAAAATAAGCTTGTCAGCTGGGGGTGGGCAGAGGGAGCTGCCTACCTTCCACGAGATGATCCTCAAGAGCCACTATCCAGGGAAGTACAAAACCTGGTAATGAGTTGCCGAGCAAAAGGATCGCAACTCATAATGGGATGCGATGCAAATGCGTACCATACTATATGGGACAGCACAAACACCAACAATAGAGGTGAGTCATTCCTACGATTTATTATGGCAAATAGTTTAGACATATCAAGCGTGGGAAATAAACCTACCTTTATAACAACTGTTAGAAAGGAGGTACTCGACATCACACGGTATCTACAAAATTTGTTAGTGGCTTCGTGAAAAAGTGGCATGTGACTAATGAGGTGAGTTGTTCAGATCACAGATACATAGCTTTGAAATTACAGGACACGGTCCTGAAACTAAAACTTATCGAAACCCCGGTAGAATAAACTGGGAAGCCTATCAGGCAGACCTGAAGGACAATTGGCGGGCCGTAAAAACGACGATTAGAAAACACCGTAGACTTGGACCTAGCAACGGAACAACTGCGGACCGCTGTTATATCCGCCTATATGAACAACTGTGAGTAATTCCAACAGAAATGTGCCCTGGTGGAACAATGACCTCGGAAACATAGGAAGAAAACAAGGAAACTTTTCAACAAAGCAAACCGAACAGGAGAGTGGAGCGAGTACCGTAAAGCTCTGACTGAGTATTACAATGCCTGAGAGCATCCAAAAATGAATCATCAAGAAGACATTCTGAGGAGGTCGAACAAACTCCTCAATGTGCCAGGCTCTATAAAAACCTTTCCAAGGACACTCCAGGAACGATTGGCTTTGTAAGAACATTAAATGGAAACTACACTCAGACCCAACAGGAAACTCTGGAAGAGTTTTATAGATTATCTACACTTCCCGGGCATTGTGATCCTTGAAGAAAACCCTGAAAACCGTCACTATGTAGACCTAGCCACAACCAGATATGGCACTAGGGAAGACTGGCAGATGACAAAAAAAAGTAGTAACATGGCGTAGGCTGAAATAGGTCATTCACTCATTCGAGCCATATAAATCGCCAGGACCAGATGGGATTTATCCATTATTATTACAAATAGGCTTACACTATACTCCAGGCTCCTGATTATGTTTAGAGCAAGCTTGGGTTTTAATCATATCCCCAAAGCCTGGAAAGAACAAATAAATCAGAGTTGTTTTCATCCCCAAACCTGGCAAAACAGGTCAGGACAATGGAAAAACTCTGAGGCCCATAAGCCTCATGTCATTTTTGTTGAAGGCTCTAGAAAAACTGCTTGAGCTCCACATTCGGGGTGGTGCATTGGCTACCAGACCAATACATCCGGACCAATATGCTTACAAAGCAGGAACCTCAACTGAAACAACACTGCATCACCTCGTCCAGCGGGTAGAAAGTACGTTGGATAATAATGAAGATATGTTGCGAGCCTTCCTTGATATAGAGGGAGCGTTTGACAACACTTCCCTCGAGGCAATTATGAGAGCTCTACGTCGACGAGGTATTGATCATACATGATGCAGATGAATAGACTGCATGCTTCGACGTAGAGTCATCCGCTCCACGCTCCTAGGTAAAACAGTAACGGCTCGGGTTGCAAAGATATGTCCGCAAGGCGGAGTGTTATCACCCCTGCTGTGATCTGGTGATGGACGAGCTGATAGAGCTACTGAAGAGCAACAACCATCAAGTAGTAGGATATGCAGATGACTTAAATCATAATATCCCATACAGTTAGAGATCGCATGCAGCAGGCTCTAACAATGGTCTCTAGATGGACAGAGACTGTAGGGTTGTAAATTAGCAATTAGTGCCACCAAATCGACAATTGTCCCCTTTACCAAAAGAAGGAAAATGGCGGGACTTGGACCTCTCTACCTTTAGGGAAACCCAGTTACGATGTCGGACGAAGTTAAATATCTTGGGCTACTCATAGACTCAAGATTAACTTGGAACAAACATCTGAACAAAATAATTAAAAAGTCAGAACTGGTAGGTACTTATACTAGCCATGAGAACTTTCGGAAAAACCTAGGGGCTGCGGCCGGACATGATGCACTGGCTATACACAACGGTTGTAACGCCAGCAATAACCTATGCGTCTCTGATATGGTGGACAAAGACACAACAAGAAAGAGCCAGAATGAGACTTGGCAAGGTGCAAGGACTTGACTGTCCGGGCATTACAGGGTGCATGAAAAGCACACCAACAGCAGCTATGGAAGTCCTACTTGGCCTTCCTCCGCTACACATTGTTATTTAGGCGGAAGCCAACACAGAACGAAACAACCTGAGCAAACTAACAGTCGGATCAGGCCACACACAAATAAGGGAAGTCATAAATCTGACATTATTCGACATGATAACTGACTATGCACTTCCCAAATACTCACCCGACATATCCTTCCAAGTCCTAATTAGTGAAAGGGAGGAATACGAAAACCAACATGCGCTCTTTATTCTTAAAGGCCAAACCTGGTACTCGGACGGGTCAAAGACTGAGAATGGTACAGGCGCATTATTTGTCAAAAAACAATCCAAAATCTAAAAGTTTGCTAAGCAATGATCCAAGCTTCGGAATCTTGAGAGTAGGAGAATTAACAGGAAATTTACAAAGTGTGACTCAGAATTAATGGATCTGAGAGGTTTCTGGAATTTTCCAAAAACGTTCAAGGTTTACAGAATTCAGCATCGTATAAGATTTGTAGAGTCTGCAACAGAATAATTCTGGAAGTAGATAATGAGAGTCCTCTATGAATCAAGATCCATCAAAAAGCACAAGAATCTTCTGTTAAGACCCAGGAAGGTATGATAATTAGGAAAGGTTTTGGGAAAAATCTGGAAATTTGAAAAGTTTCATATTTGAAATGAATTTTCCAATATCTAATACAATGTTTACTCAATATCGATTTTTCGGTTTTTTAGGATTGGAAACACAACGAACTATTTTGAACTGGAAATTGGCTGTTTGAGTTGAAATTAGAACTGTTCTCAGACGATTCAAGATTTAAGAAATAACTATTTCCATGCAAACGAGACAAAATGACTAATTTTCTTGCTTTGTTTGTATAATCAATTATTGTTCATTGGGTTTTTGGGTTCTTAAAAATTATTTCCTGCTTCAAATTTAAAACAAACACATTGATGAATTTATTTTTATTTAAAAAAAGTCAATAAATGTGTAAAACCTTATAATGATATTTACAAACTAAACACTACAGTTTATTGTTACATAATAATAGTTTTTGATCCTTAACCAGAAAAATACATTTAACATGAATATTTGGTACATAAAATTACAACATATCTATAGTTTTTTTTTTCTTTCAATCATATTCAACTAATAAATAAATTTTGGAGCATTGCTCGTGATCCTCTGTAATAATTGATTTTCGAATTTTAGCAAAAGGAAAAACCTAATTCAAAAACTCAAAAACACTTTCCTCATTCAAAAAACAAATCAGTCTCATGCAAATGTATTGCCTAAATGTCCTAATTTTTTTTGCTGGAATCAGATCGCCTTTTAAGGGTTTTGAATTTTCAACTCGTTCCTCAAAATTTTGCCGCTAGGATTCCTCGGAATCGACTGGATAAACTTGACGCCTCCGGCCAATTTTTTGTAATGCGTCACTTTGGAACTGACGAATTTTTTAATGTCTTCCTCGTTGAGATTTTGTCCGGGTTTGGTCACTACGTAGGCCCTCGGTACTTCGCCGGCTAGTTCGTCCGGTACTCCGACTACGGCCGCGTCAACGATGCCTTCGATTTCTAAAATCAAGTTTTCTAATTCGGTCGGTGATACCTGAAACAATGAAAATGTCATTGGATATTTATATTTTCTCTATACCCAGGGTCTTGAACTTTTCTTATTTCGACAAATTCAAGATACATAATGGAGAGGATTTGTGGGTTATAGGGTATTTTTTGGATAAAAAACCAATTCCTCTCTTATATATTATATTTTTGTAGTTTAATTAATAAGTTAATAAACAAGCGTTTCAGTGCAGCGGTGAGATGAATACCCGTATCTCTGAAAAGGCTTCATCCACTGTCAAGTGGAGAGAGAGAGAACGTAAGAAAAATGGTAAACGACTTGTTAGATGCTGATATCATACAAGAATCAAATTCGCCATATTCCAGTCTAACTCATTAAAAAGAAAAATGGCGAGACTCGGATTTGTGTGGATTACATAGCCTTAAACAACAAAACTGTTAAAGATTATTATCCTTTACCACGTGAGGACGATAATCTAGAAATATTGAAAGGTTGCAAGTTTTTCGCCACTCTTGACATGGCAAGTGGTTACCATCAAATTAAAATGGCTGAAGCTTCTAGAAAAAAAACATCTTTTGTGACCCCAGCTGGTCAATATGAATATCTGAGGATGCCATTTGGTCTTGTTAATGCTCCGGCGGTGTTTCAGCGCATTATTAATCAAATGTTGGGCTCAATGAGATTTTCTACCGCTCTAGCTTACATAGATGTCAGGTCTAATCGCATTGGGTGATGTGTTAAAAGATTTTTCGAGAGGCAGGTGTTACTTTACGATTAGAAAAGTTAATAACACAATTCAGTTTAAACACACAATTGCCTCGATTTTGGGAACTCAAGGAAATTCGAAATAAACAACATTTGCCTATTGATGAACAATTTTGTGAAACATTTTTCAAAGGCACTACTACCCATAGACAAGGATGGACGATTTGTAGTGAGGTTACCATTTAATAAAACACTTCAAAACCTAGGTGAGTCTAGCTCTTTAGCACAAAGGCGATTTGATTATGTTGAGAGGCGTTTTTACAAGTCCGTTGATTTTAAAACTGAGTATACCAAGTTTATCGATGAATGGGTCATGACATGTCAAAAGTGAGCCTCGAGTCTCTTGACAAGGAAATAAATTTTTATCTTCCTCATCATGCAGTGTAGAAAGATTCAAGTACTACTCCAAAGTTGGGGTCAGTTAAGTTAGCCCCCTCCCCATAGAAAATTTCTGGATGAAAATTTTCCCATGATTTTGCTCTCATTTTGCTCCACTAATTTCGATTTTTGCTCCATTACAGTGGAGAGACTATGTGGCCTTTTAGGTGGGGGGGCTAAATTAACGCTAGCCCCCCCCTCCCCCCCCCCCCAGTGGAAATTCAGAAATTTGATCATGCTCATTTTGTTCTCCGAGTTTTGCTCCATTATCGGCGAGTTTTGCTCCATTACCAGGAGAAACCTACAGAGCTCCCAAAAATCTCTCCTTCTCCTTCGCACACTGCACCCGAAAGCAGCTCTGGAATGAACTACACAGCTCCCAGGAATATCTCCTAGAAACACGGGTGAAATTTTGGAGTTTTTATATGCGCATTTTGTTCTCCGAGTTTTGCTCCATTTTCCTCCATGATCGGTTACGTCAATTTGTTGAAACCTTGCGTTCAGTAACCAATCCAGGAGTAGATTTGAGCGAGAGGAATTTTTAGTCACGTGAACCCAGAGCAAGGGAGAAAGATACAAACTACGAACTCAGCAATGCGCAAAGTAAAATAAAAAAACAAATAGGTATAAACGCTCAATCCCGATTACACAGATTACAGATTATTTTTGTAATCATAATTTTTGTGTTCTGAATTTAAAAAGCGCTATTGACATTTACATGAGAAATCCGCGAGATTTCGTTTTAAATCCGGAGGAAAGAGATTGCTCCGGATGCTCCGAAGACCGCAATGTAATATGGGAACTGCAGTCAGATAAACTCGTTCTGCTCCAAAGTGAACACAGAACGGTTTGGCTCAGAAAGAGCAAAAAAATTGGATAAAGGAAGGCCAAGAACCCTCAACTAACAGGATGGGTTATCCCCATAAGTCGTACGTTCGCCATTTTTCGACTAGTCGTGACGTCACTGAGACCCCCATGAGTTGTTTGCGATTCACGCCATTCTTGTGGTGAGGTAATTTTTTCGTCGATTTAAAATGAAGAAAAAGTAATTTTAACGTTTAGAAAAAAAAAACTGTATGAAATAATCGGATAATGGATTTTACTCCGAGGTTGAGGTCTACATTGACGTCACAAATGACACAAATAGTGGGGAGTTTTCGCGTGGACATGGCAGATACTTTCAGCTAGATAAGCCGTCCTACTGAGGTTTTAGGGTTCTTGAAGGAAGGCCAAGTTTTTGAATTCACCATTGTCTATGCGCATTTCTCTTGATGAGTAACGTATCCTTGTTTTGCTGCTGTTAAATGAGAAGGACACCATTACATCGGTGAAAATGCGCATATGTCATTGTGGATTTTAAAAACTTGCCGCATTAAGCCTAGTACTCATAACAGCGAAATTCTCACTTTTTTGACATTGCTTAGACAATTCGACGTTTTATGCGTGAATCAAACGTCAAATTGTCGAAGCAATGTCAAAAAAGTGCGAATTTTTCGGAAAAATTAGGCAATTCAAACCACGTGACAATCAAGATGGCGTGGCGGCCACACATGAGCCAAAAAACACAAAAAAATATGTAGTTTCTGCCCGATTTAATAGTTCAGGTACCTAGTCAACAAATTTTTTATTAAATAATCAAAATTAAAGTTGCAAACAAAACTCTAAGCAAAATAATTTAAAATACGCATAAAAACATAATCAAAACAAACTTGCTTGTCCGCCACGCCATATTGAATTTTCCATTTTGACAGATGGATTGAATTGCCTAATATAAGGCTGTCTCTATAATTTACGACGTGTGTCAAATTTGTTTACTTGAAAATAGGCGCCATCTTTTTCTCATCGATTCGCACTGTCAAATCAATATTAGGTTATTCGGAACACATTTCACTGCTCCGAACATGGGCGCTCGAGCAAACGAGCTTGATTATCGGTATTTATATTTATGACACAGATAACTATTTTTTCAAGCGATTCCCATTTGTAAATTCAGTGCGTACTTAGACTATTTCAGTCTTTTTCTAGAAGCACGTGAAAAAAAAAGGATCGTAATTAGTTTTAACTAACAGGGCTTCTTGCGGGTTCTGTTTGTCTGTTACCAAAGTTAAACCAATCTGCACCAGGTGAACCAAAAAGTCAGTTTGTCTCTGTCAGACCCATACAAAAAGAAATATAGCGATAAACCTTGGATAAACAAACACATTTGGTGTAGAAAGTGTCGGTTGGTGCGAATAAACAACTTAGATCAAATATATATTATTCACATATGTGAATAACATATATATATGATCTAAGATAAACAAACAAAGCTAGTGAAATCAGGGACCACTGTTCTCTTCACGGCCATTATACTCAATGCGCTTTGCACTCAAACGCAGGAGCATCAGGAAAAAGAGGCAAGGAAAATGAGAGCAGCTTCAGAACGCCTGAGTGCTCACAGCGTGGCACTCGAAAGCAGCTCAAGTAATGAGCAGAACTCGTCACTCATGGAGAAAAACGGAGCGAAACTCGGAGAACAGAATAAATATGATCAAACAAAATTTTCACTGGTGTGGGGGGGACTAGAAGAGATTCTAAGGAGCTCGTAGGTCATTCCAGGTAATAGAGCAAAACTCGCCGATCATGGAGCAATACTCGGAGAACAAAATGCGCATAATAAGAAACTCCAAAATTTTCACACCTGTTGTAAGGAGAGGTTCCTGGGAACTGTGTAGTTACAGGTGCATCAGGGGAAAGAGGCGAGGAAAGTGAGAGCAACTTGAGAGCGCCAAACTCTGTTCGGCCGAAAGTGTAAAATAGCCGGAGTACTTCGGACTAACTCGAGAGCGCTGAGCGCTCAAAGCGTGGCACCCGGAAGCGGCTCCGTCATGGAGCAAAACGAGCTGATCATGGTGCAAAATGGAGCGAAACTCGGTATGAGTAATTTCAAGTTTCCAAAATTTTCAATGCTGGGCAAGAAGAGATTCTTTGGAGCTCTGTAGGTCATTCCTGGTAATGGAGCAAAACTCGCCGATAATGTAGCAAAATGGGTAAAACTCGGAGAACAAAATGAACATGTTCAAATTTAAAAAAAATCCCCGGGGGGGAGAGATTCTTGCGAGCTCTGTAGGTCATTCCTGGTAATGGAGCAAAACTCGCTAATCATGGAGCAAAATGGAGCAAAACTCGGAAAACAAAATGAGCATGAACAAATTTCAGAATTTTCACTGGGGGTGGGGGGACTGGGAGAGATTCTTGGGAGCACTGCAGGTCTCTCCTGGTAATGGAGCATAACTCACCGATAATGGAGCAAAATGAAGCAAAACTGGGAGAACAAAATGAGCATTATCAAATTTCTGAATTTTCACTGGGGGGGGGGGGCGAGCGTTAATTTAGCACCCCCCCACCTAATAGGCCACATAGTCTCTCCACTGTAATGGAGCAAAAATCAAAATTAGTGGAGCAGAATGGAGCAAAATGAAAGCAAAATTATGGGATAATTTTCATCCAGAAATTTTCTATGGGGGGGCTAACTTAACTGACCCCTTTAAACCTCTGTCCGAAGTTAACCCACTTTATGGGGTGAGTGGCGGGTATTATAAAACTATTTTGACAGAATAACTAGAAGTTAAATTCTGGAATGACGTTATTTCTCATGTTATTCCAAAAGTTAATTTTTAGTTAACTAACTGCCAAAGTAGTAATATAATACCCGCCCTTAGTCTTAGGAAAAAAAAATAAATAAAAAACGGGGGCAGATAGGAAGAATCTCAGACTCTCAAGATGTTGGAACTATGTTGACCGAAAATTACGGAAAATTAGCTATCTTGGTATTAAGTTTGCAATGAAAAGTATAGCAAAACGCATCCGAAGTCACTCCGTTTGACGATACCTGTCGACATTTATATATCTGAGGGAATCCCAGAGGAGCGAAAGCAACATCGCGGTTGCCTGTGCTCAACCAAGAACATTTAACCTGATAAGACTGCTTATTGAGCTGAAAATGTCTGCCATTTCAGCTGAAATGACGTAAAATGCATTAGTCGAGTTGAAAATAGTATAGGTCAAAAAAACGAATTCCTAAACGTTATAATCTTGTTAAAATCGCCTATCTTTCATTTAAAATCGAGGAAAAAAACAAGCACAACCTAAATCGCAATGATCGAGGCCTGCGGATGACGTCATCACTATAAGCTGCTAATTAGTAGTGACGTCACTTGCAGGGCCTGCCGACTCGAGAATTGAACAGAGACATGAGAACAGACGACGTCTTCAAGATGTCTCTTAAAACCCCTTGAAAACGTAAGCAGATGTTTAAAAGACGTCTTGAATGTCGTTTGTGGACATTCTAAGGTTTCTGCGCTGTCCGGGGATAGACAAAAATTGAAATGGTAAAATTGAGAAATGAAGAGAAGAAATTTAAAAAAAATCAAGAAATAAAGAAAAGAAAATTCAAGAAAAATTGAAAAAAAAAATTGGTAGAACAAGTATTTTGTTTCTATTCCAAGCTTATGAATTTTCTCTATTTGGAAAAGTTTAGAAGAAAACGAGAATTCAAGAGCCGAGAATAGACCAAAATCGAAATGGAAAAACTAAGAATTGAATAGGAGAAGAAATAAAGTAAAATTGAGAAAAAATGTTGACATTTCAGACATTGAGAAAAAATATCGATATTTATGTAGGTACATCGATTATTATCGTACTTGACTTTAAATTATTGTTGTTTGGACATGCAAAAAGAGACTTCTTTGAAATCCAGGTAGTCGAAAAAAAAAAATAATAAGGAATACCGTATCGAAAATATCGATATTTTCTCATTACTAATATCGATAAAAAAAAATAGAAGATTTCAAACAATGTCGTATCGATACCTATGAATATCGATAAACCCCTCTCTACAATAAAATTTAAATAGATTAAAGATATTTTCCTACACTATATCTGTCTCTCTCCCTCTTGAAGGTCAAATGCCTACGTGACTGCGTAGCAAACGCTCGATACAAATACAAAAACAGAAGACCGCGTTCGACGTTTCCTTGACATCAATGAACGACAAATTGGACTTTGACATTAGAAAAAAAATATTTGTTGGTTGTTTGTGGTGTTTATTGGAAAATTTCGCGTCGAAAAAATGGAAAATTCCGAAGAAATATTGCACAGCCTGGAAGAATTTTCGAAAATGAACCCGAAGGACATACCCAGAGAGCTGGAGGAGTATTTGAAGTTCGTCGCGAAAAACGGCGACCCCATCTACCCCTGGGCCGCCATAAAACGCCTTTTACACGAAAAACTGGTGAGCGTTATAACTGAATTTTACGAGTCCTGTTCGACGATTCCGCCTTGCCCCAACGTGGAATTGTTCAATTACCATATCATGAAAACGTTGATAGTTGAAAAGCTGGACTCGTTTGCTGCGGCCCCGTTCACGTTGCAAAGAATTTGCGAGCTGCTGACAAACCCACGAAAACAATACACCAGAGTGGACAAATACATGCGAGCTCTAGAAAAAAACATTCTAGTTGTAAGCACCATTGAGCCTGGCGGCCGTAGAACTGAGAACGGAGAAGGTTTTATGAATGGGTTAGATTCAGACCACGACCCAGTCCCGGAGCCCGCACACGAAATTAATGTCGAATCCATGGACGATTCCCCTTTCATGCAAACAATTACTGAAACGCCCTACCACAATGGCACTCAGAAAATTGAAATAGACAACCCCATGGATACATTTACCACTGAAAAAGTTGCAGCTGAAGCATCTACTTCTAACCAGGAACTTGTTTGTGTCCAATATGTTTCAATTGAACCTGTAGCTGATAATACTGCTCAACATTCAAATGAAGAAACCAAAGAAACTGATGTTTCTGTTACTATTACTGCCATTAAAGTTAATGAAGATTCTCAACCAATTGTTGAAGCAGAAGTAATTTTGACTGAACCTGCTTTGGGTGGCATAGAAGTTTTTCAAGAGCCTATTATTGAAACCGAACTCAAACTCGAAATGGATGCTGATCCTCTAAGCCAACCTGTCCAAGATTCAAAACTTTATATAGACGATCCAAAACTTTATATCGACGATCCAGAAATCAATGGCATTCCTATAATTGAACCAACTTCCACCAGCACAGTCATTGAAAAACTTCTAGAAGAACCCACAGTCAGTACCTCAGAAGCTGTTTCCACCTCAACCCCAATTGAAAAAGATACTGAAACTAGCATCAGTTCATCAGATGATAATTTAGAAAAAGATGACATATTAAAACTTATAGACAATTCCTTTCCAACATTACAAGCAAGTGATACCAAATGTGAAGTTACAACGACCAAAGATGATAATGTTTTTTGTGGTGACGAATTGGTGGCTGAATTGGCTAGTGCTGAGTCTTCCACAGATGTTAATGAGGCTCCAATTGTCAAAACAGCAAAACTAAATGAAGAGGAAAAAGTTGTACCAGAAAGTGAAGATGCTATTACTACTAAGGCAATGCCTGAAGAATCTTCAGAGTCTCAAAGTGATGAAAAAAAAGATGAGACTACTAGTGAGGCTATATTAGCTTCTGATGAAATTATTGATGAAACAAAAGAGGCTCTTTCAACTTCTGATGAAAAAGTTGACGCTATTTCAGCTTCTGATGAAATAGTTGAGGCTTCTTCAGTGGCAGCAGAGGAAAAAGATGAGGCTACATCAACCTCTACTGAAGAAAAAGATGTTCCAGTTCCAATGGAAATTGTTCCAACTCCAATGGAAATAGTTCCAGCTACTCAAGAAGCAGAAGTGGCTGAAGAAATTTCAACCAAGGAGCCAGAAGCCACTGAACTACCCGTATCAGAAACTTCTTAGATTGTTTTAAAGCTACAATAAAATTAATTGTCTTTCCTATAGATAGGGTTTTAATTTTTTTTAATTTAATTTCACCTAATTTGATTATTATTGTCACAAAATAAATCGGGTATTTGACTTTGTAAATAAAATAGAATAATTAGGTTCATTAGATTGTAATGTTTGCATTTTTGATTTTACTATTTTTCCAATAGGATGCGTATTAATTAGACTTATGATGTTTTTTATAGAGGTTTAAGTTACTTTTCTAAATAAAATGTTTTCAACCTGGCAACTTGGACTTTAATACTTATTTGATTAATTCTCAATAAATAAATAAGTATCAATTATTACAAGTTTTATTCAAACTTGAACAACTGATGAATATTTAGTTTGAGAGAATTTGGATCTTGAACTTTTGCCCTTTGAACCCACTTCGGGATCTATAAAATCCCTTTTAATAAATAAAGTCTAGAACTTAGGGCGTGCCTGAATGACTTGAAATCCAAATTATCACTATAAAAGTCTCATACTTAATTTGAATTTTAACTCCCTCGGGCACAGTACAGCTCAATTTGTGAATAAATTAAGACCTGTGGGGTTCAACACCAATTTATGGTCCAAATTATCAAAATTCAATTGTAATGTCTTGTGTATGGCAATATCTAGAATTGTATGAAGTAATAACTGGGATTTTGTACACGTCACGCTGTCAAGAAGATACACTTTTCAATTATTGTAAATTTGGTTTTTATCTATAAACTTCCCTTTAGTAAATAAGGTTTAAAACTTATGGCGTGCCTGAATGACTTAGCACCAATTTAATATCACCATTCTCACTGTAAAAGTATCATAATTTGTTTTTTTAGTCGTTTGAGCACATTACAGTCCTTCGACAGGCTCAATTTGTGTATAAATTAGGACCTATCACGTGCCTGAAGGGTTCAACACCAATTTATGGTCCAAATTATCAAAATTTAATTGTAATGTGTATGGCATAATCTAGAATCCTATAAAGTAATACAGAGATTTTGTACACATCACACTGTCAAGAAGATACACTTTTCAGTAATTATAAATTTGGTTTTTAAAAGTTGAATTTCAAGATTTTCTCATAATGTGGAATCAATTTGAAATTTCAGTACAATGAGCTCTTTTCGTTTCCCTTTTTGCTCCACAATTTTTAACAATTTTCTAGAAAAAATCATCAAAATGTGGAAGGGTGCATTTACCTACCTGAATTTGGTTTTTTAAAAGTAGATTTTCTTATGTAGTGGTTTTTCACGAAAACAATTTGATATTTCAGTGTAATGAGACCTTTTTTCCCCTTTTTACTATAAAAGCTTCAAAGTTTTCCTCTCACTTGTTTTTTTGGAAAATCAGCAAAATGTGATTGGGTGCATTTTCCTTAATTTGGTTTTTAAAAGGTAATTTTCAAGATTTTTTCATGTTGTGGTTTTTGACAGAATCAATTTGAAATTTCAGTATAATTAGCTCTTTTTCTTCCTCCTTTCACTCTGAAAGTTTAGAAATTTTCCCATGAACAGTTTTTTGAAAAATCATCAAAATGTAAAAGAATGCATTTGACTTAATTTGGCTTTTAAATGTTGATTTTCAAGATTTTTTAATTTTGTGATTTTTCACTAAATCAATTTGCAATTTTAGTATAATGAGCTCCCGTTTCTCCTTCTTTTCACTCTTAAAGTTTCAAAGTTTTCCTCTCACTTCTTTTTGAAAAATCAGCAAAATGTGAATGGGTGCATTTTATTCCTTAATTTGGTTTTTAAAAGTTAATTTTCAAGATTTTTTTATGCTGTGGTTTTTGACAGAATCAATTGGAAATTTCAGTATAATTAGCTCCTTTTCTTCCTCTTTTCACTCTGAAAGTTTGTAAATTTTCCCATGAACAGTTTTTTGAAAAATCATGAAAATGTATGTGGAAGGTGCATTTGACTTAATTTGGCTTTTAAATGTTGATTTTCAAGATTTTCTCATTTTGTGTTTTTTCACTGAATCAATTTGAAATTTTAGTATAATATGAGCTACTCCTTTTCTCCTCCTTTTTACTCTTGAAGTTTCAAAGTTTTCCTCTCACTTCTTTTTGAAAAATCAGCAAAATGTGAATGAGTGCATTTCCTTAATTTGGTTTTTAAAAGTTAATTTTCAAGATTTTCTTATACTGTGGTTTTTGACAGAATCAATTTGAAATTTCAGTATAATTAGCTCGATCCTTTTCTTCCTCTTTTCACTCTAAAAGTTTTGAAGTCTTCCCATGAACAGTTTTTTGAAAAATCATCAAAATGTGAAAGAGTGCATTTGACTTAATTTGGCTTTTAAATGTTGATTTTCAAGATTTTTTCATTTTGTGATTTTTCACTGAATCAATTTGAAATTTTAGTATAATGAGCTCCTTTTCTCCTTTTTTACTCTTAAAGTTTCAAAGTTTTCCTTTCTCTTTTTTTTTTGAAACATTAGCAAAATGTGAATGGGTGTATTTTCCTTAATTTGGTTTTTAAAATTTAATTTTCAAGATTTTCTTATGCTGTGGTTTTCAACAGAATCAATTTGAAATTTCAGTATAATTAGCTCCTTTTCTTCCTCTTTCCACTCTAAAAGTTTCGAAATTTTCCCATGAACAGTTTTTTGAAAAATCATCAAAATGTGAAAGAGTGCATTTTCTTTAATTTGGCTTTTATAAGTTCATTTTCAAGATTTTCTCATTTTGTTATTTTTCACTGAATCAATTTGAAATTTTAGTATAATAAGCGCCTTTTCTCCTCCTTTTTACTCTTAAAGTTTCAAAGTTTTCCTCTCACTTCTTTTTGAAAAATTGGCAAAATGTGAATGGTGCATTTTCCATAATTTGGTATTGAAAAGTCGATTTTCAAGATTTTCTCATGATGTGGTTTTTGACAGAATCAATTTGAAATTTCAGTATAATTAGTTACTTTTCTTCCTCTTTTCACTCTGAAAGTTTTGAAATCTTCCCATGAATAGTTTTTTGAAAAATCATCAAAGTGTAAAAGAGTGCATTTTGACTTAGTTTGGCTTTTAAAATGTTGATTTTCAAGATTTTCTCATTTTGTGATTTTTCACTGAATCAATTTGAAATTTTAGTATAAATGAGCTCCTTTTCTCCCCCTTTTTACTCTTACAGTTTCAAAGTTTTCCTCTCACTTCTTTTTAGAAAATCCGCAAAATGTGAATGAGTGCATTTTCCTTAATTTGGTATTTAAAAGTTAATTTTCAAGATTTTTTTATGCTGTGGTTTTTGACAGAATCAATTTGAAATTTCAGTACCTATAACTAGCTCCTTTTCTTCCTCTTTTCACTCTGAAAGTTTGGAAATTTTCCCATGAACAGTTTTTTGCAAAATCATGAAAATGTGGAAGAGTGCATTTGACTTAATTTGGTTTTTAAATGTATATTGATTTTCAAGATTTTCTCATTTTGTGATTTTTCACTGAATCAATTTGAAATTTCAGTATAATGAGCTCCTTTTCTCCTTCTTTTTACTCTTAAAGTTTCAAAGTTTTCCTCTCACTTCTTTTTGAAAAATCAGCAAAATGTGAATGGGTGCATTTTCCTTAATTTGGTTTTTGGAAGTTAATTTTCAAAATTTTCTATACTGTGGTTTTTGACAGAATCAATTTGAAATTTCAGTATAATGAGCCCCTTTTCTCCTTCTTTTTACTCTTAAAGTTTCAAAGTTTTCCTCTCACTTCTTTTCGAAAAATCAGCAAAATGTGAATGGGTGCATTTTCTTTAATTTGGTTTTTAAAAGTTGATTTTCAAGATTTTCTCATGATGTGGTTTTTGACAAAATCAACTGAAAATTTCAGTATAATTAGCTCCTTTTCTTGCTCTTTTCACTCTGAAAGTTCGAAATTTTTCCATGAACAGTTTTTTGAAAAATCGCATAATGTGAAAGATTGCATTTTCCATAATTTGGTTTTTAAAAGCTGATTTTCAAGACTTTCTCATGATGTATGTTTTTTGACACAATCAACTGGAAATTTTAGTATAATTAGCTCCTTTTCTTTCTCTTTTCTCTCTGAGAGTTTTGAAATTTTCCCATGAACAGTTTTTTCAAAAATCGTCAAAATGTGAAAGAGTGCATCTTCCTCAATTTGATTTTTAAAAGTTGATTTTTAAGATTTTCTCATGATGTGGTTTTTACACAATCAACTGGAAATTTCAGTATAATTAGCTTCTTTTCTTGCTCTTTTCTCTCTGAGAGTTTTGTAATTTTCCCATGAACAGTTTTTTCAAACATCATCAAAATGCGTGAAAGAGTGCATTTTCCTCAATTTGGTTTTTAAAAGTTGATTATCAAGATTTTCTCATGATGTGGTTTTTGAAACAATCAACTGGAAATTTCAGTATAATTAGCTCCTTTTCTTCCTCTTTTCACTCTGAAAGTTTTAAAATTTTCCCTTGACTTTTTTTTGAAAAATCATCAAAATGTGAAAGGATGCATTTCCCAGAATTTAGTTTTTTAAAAGTTGATTTTCTTATGTAGTGGTTTTTCACTGAATCAATTTGAAATTTCAGTATAATGTGCACCTTTTCTTCCTCTTTCCAAATATAAAAATTCAAACTGGAACTTGGGATTTGACTCGAAAGCCGACTTATGGCTGCTTTTACAGTTAAATTTGTTTTTTTGCAAGAAATTGAACTTCGACAAGCTGTCAAAAGTTGTTCAATTATCTGAGTCACTTCAAATATTTCAGAGGTGTAAATTGATACTTTCAAAACATAAAAATTCAAACTGGAACTTGGGATTTGACTCGGAAGCCGACTTATTGCTGCTTTTACAATTAAACTTGTTTTTTGCAAGAAATTAAACTTTGACAAGCTGTCAAAAGTTGTTCAATTATCTGAGTCACTTCAAATATTTCAGAGGTGTAAATTGAAACTTCCAAAATATAAAAATTCAAACTGGAACTTGGGATTTGACTCAGAAGCCGGCTTATGGCTGTTTTTACAGTTAAACTTGTTTTTTTGAAAGAAATTAAACTTTGACAAGCTGTCACAAGTTGTTTAATTATCTGAGGCACTTCAAATGTTTCAGAGGTATAAATTGAAACTTTCAAAATATAAAAATTCAAACTGGAACTTGGGATTTGACTCAGAAGCCGACTTATGCCTGCTTTTACAATTAAACTTGTTTTTTTGCAAGAAATTGAACTTTGACAAGCTGTCACAAGTTGTTCAATTATCTGAGGCATTTCAAATGTTTCAGGGGTGAAAATTGGATCTTTCAAAATATAAAAATTCAAACTGGAACTTGGGATTTGACTCAGAAGCCGACTTATGAAAGTTTTAAAATTTATCCATGAACAGTTTTTTGAAAAATCATCGAAATGTGAAAGAGTGTATTTTCCTTAATTTGGCTTTCAAAAGTTGATTTGCATTTTGTGATTTTTCACTAAATCAGATTCAAATTTTAGTATAATGAGCTCTTTTTCTTCTTCTTCTGATTTGAAAAGTTTCTATACAAATATTAAAAATAATTTTAATAGGTAAATTTGTACCCTTTGCAAACTGTTCATGAAAACATGTATTGGACCCTTTGGGCGCGTCATAGGTCCTAGAACAGTCAATTTGTAAAGTTTTCAAGAAATTTTAATAACTGTCGGAATTAGGCTCCTTGCATCAAATGTTTTTATTGCTGATTTCGATAGTCCATGAAAAATAAGTCAACACGTGTTTTTTCTTTTGCTTCTTAGTGAAAAATTGACGGAGATACAACACTATCAAATCTGCCTATGACGTCACTTATCTAATAAATAAGTGACGTTGCACATGCTCAGTATATCTATATATACAAAAACTTAATATTTGAATAACTTCCGGAATAATCATATTTGGGCGAAATAAAAAAAAGTAACGATTTTTTTTCGATTTCCTACAGTTTGCAATAAACAATAATCAATTTAATTTCCCATGCAAGTACCCTATTTGGAAAAGAAACACACTTATGGCTGATTGCAAGCGACCATTTCAACATTTTTACATGAAAAAATGTCACTTTAAACGTTGATTATCGTTAAACCTAACTTAAAATGGTCGGTGCAAGTGGCCATCAATTTACTATAAAATTGGGAAAAACAAGAGGAAAATTGGACACGGATTAGGCAAGTTTAAAGTTACAAAAAAAAAACTATCTCAGATCTTTTTCTTTTTCCTCTCACCTGATTTCCTTTGACTTTAATCAGCTCCTTGCACCTATCGACAACGTAAAAATAGTGATCTTCGTCATAATAGACAACATCTCCCGTATGCAACCAGCCATCTTCGTCGATAGTCTCAGATGTCGCTTTCTCGTTATTCAAATAACCCATCATGACCTGATAAAATTCCAAACATTACATAATCCTCAAACAAAATCTTTTCACCTGTGGTCCTCTGACTAATAATTCACCAGTTTGATGAGTTCCCAATTCCTCTCTGGTTGTTAGACTCAGAACTTTGGCTTCAGTGCCTGGAAATAGGACTCCTATTGTGCCAATTTTTGATGGGGGCGTCAAATTGGGCATTATAAATGTTACCGGACTTGTTTCGGTCATTCCATATCCTAGAATAACAAACTGTTGACGCATATTCAATAAAACAATAATTTATTTACAAACCTTGTCTGATTGTAACTTTGGGATTATCAATTTTCTGTCTGAACTTTTGCAAAAGTCCTTCAGTTAAAGGTGCAGCCCCTGAAGTGATTTCTTCAATTGAACTTAAATGGTCTTTTGTGACGCTCGGATGTGATGCCAAAAATAATAGAAGTGATGGTACTACGAACAAGTAAGTTGGTTTGTATTCTAGTAAGGCTTTTAAGTAATCTTCTGGAGTGAATCTTGGAATTGTAATCAAATGGGTGCCCAATCTCAAGCAAACATTCATGATACCGTTGAAACCGTAGATGTGGAAGAATGGTAAGACTGTAAGGGTTGTGTGTTTTTGTCCAGCTAAAAAAAAATAGATATTATGAGTTTTTTTTAATAATTATATCTGCAACATTTAAGTACTTTCAGCTGTGGTTTTGGCAATAAGAGCAGGATGGTCACCCTGTACCATGTTGGCAACAAGATTCCTGTGTGACAGCATTACACCTTTTGGTAATCCCGTAGTACCACTGGAATACGGTAGCAATGCAAGCTTGTCAGGATGAATTTCAGGTAAGTCTGCTTCATATCCGGCTGATAATAAGCTCATCAACCCGTGAACATTTCTTCCTGGTTCATCATCTCCGCCAATACAAATAGTTGTTCTACAAATCGTATTATTAAAGTTATTTTTTTTGTGTATATTTAACATTTTAACAAACAAATTCTTACTTGTATCCTGGAAGCTGAGGCCCAATCGTAGTAACCATTTCCAAAAGCAAAGGAATCGTGACGATCATTTTGACGCCGGCGTTTTCGAATTGCCGTTTGATTTCGTCCGGGGTGTAAAGGGGATTGACGAAAGTCACGATTAATCCAGCTTCCATGGCTCCGTGGCACACAATAATGTATTCGGGAATGTTTGGCAATAGCAAGGCCACAACTTCGCCCGTTTTCATGCCGCAATGTCCCAGCATCGCTTGGGCGCACCTGTTCACCAGCATCCTTAGCATTCCGTAGGTGTAGGATCGGCCAGATACTGCACAAGTCTGGAACAAAATGGTAAATGATTGAGGTGTTTGAGAGAAATTTCGAAATGTAGGTTGCAAGGCACTCTGGATAGATTTATTGAAGTCAACAAAAAGGTTCTGCATGTTTTTTGGGGTGCTGAATCCGAATCTGAGGTTTGCCAATAGGCCAGGTGTCGGCTTCACAACGAAAATTGCGAAAACCCTAAATTTTCGGCACTTTTTTCAGGTTTTTAACTATAACTCGAAAACTAAGCGTTTTTCAGTTATAACTATGATATACCAAATTAAAGTAGACAAAATTTCCTACAAGTAGGTAATAACTCTAGTCTTGACAATCCATAACGTCGATAGATCGTGTTGAAAAAAATTTGTTGACTCCCCAAAGCCGCAATAATGTGTACTCTGTGACTCAATAATATTCTGTAGGAAAAAACATAGAAAGGCTGCTGAAAGATCGAAATGATGACGCTGGAACTGCTATTTTAGATGCACTTTCAGTGCATGATTAGCCAGCTACTGATGCTCAATACTATTTTTTATGCATGAAAGAGCTATACCTTCCCAAACGCTAAACAAAAACACAAGGTAGAACTAGAAGTGATGTGGATGGAGAAATGCAATATATTTTCAAATATCTTGTAAAAATTCTGGAAAATGCCACTTTACAATCGATGAGATTGAAGGTGACTGTCGTCCTCACCCAAGAATAGTAAAACAGCGCCTCCTTGACAAGTATGGCAATGATATATTTATAACAGCCCAATATGGGAAGTCGCGGGGGCGTTTTTCACCCCAAACGGCATACGCAAAAATTCATAATGGCCATTTTCCGTCGTTCTTATTCATCTGGATCTGGTGAAATCCGCTGGCCAATTCCAATGTAGTAAAATATTGACATTTTCCTAATTTGTCTAATAGGTCGGTTATATTCGGTAGGGGGTATCTGTCTGTTATGGTTTTCACATTAACCCCATGAAAATCTACTACTACAACTCTCCATTTCTGCTTCCTGGAACCGTCCGCTTTCTTTGGAACCACCCAAATTGGCGATGACCAGGGAGAGTTGCTTGGGTGAATGATTTTTTGGCCCAACCAACCAAATATTGTATGTTTCAAAGGTACAGGTCACAAGATTATTACTGATACTTGGTATCAGGAGAGGTTGTTAGAGAAGGAAGAGAAAACAAGGATTGTTAAAACAGAAGCAATTATTATTGTTGAAGATGCGCGCTCTCAAGTGTAGGTACAATTTGACACAGTACCCTCCACCAGATAGCTTAAGGGCGGCTTCTCGTGAGCGCAATTTGACATTTATGGCGTGACAGCGTGACTGAATGCAGAATTCTGATTGGCCAAAATCCCGCCATATTGGATACGCTGACACTTTGCCGCAGATACGCCAAAAGTTGAGCAAAGTTCAACTTTTCGCGTAGAAATTCAGCGTTTTTAGAGGTTAAGGTTGCAACCGTTTCGTTTTCTTGATTTTTGTGATTTAAATCCCAGAGCTAGTCTTTACAGATGCTGTAGTAATGAGCAAGAAAAAAGGAAATTATGAAGCATGAAAGTAGAAATCTCTTGCGATAGCCGATTTGCTTATTTACAGCCATAAGGCCAAAGTCATATAGGTACATCTGCATGTGGGGGTTGCAACATTTTTGTACAAGAAGTATGGTTCACGAAAGTTAATCGATGTACTGAGTTCATTTGGATTTTTGTTCATCATACACAATGCCATACGTTTTGAAATGTCTTTTATGTTGCGACCACCTCTACTCTTAGTAAACAAGCACTATCTCAATTGGTCTATGATAACGCTGAATTCAACATCCGAACTATCGACGGGCACTACACATTCCATTCTATGGGTTGTCACTCGAAAGTCGGCTGTTGTTCCAGGTCCCCAGATCGATCGGTTAAAGGATATACCTTCAGCAGAAAACTATTGGACGTGTCGGAACTGTTTCTGTGAAAGTCTTTGAAAAGACAGTGCAATGACATTTCTTGTTCAATCATAGTGTAGTCATGGTTAACTATTCTGGTGTTGTTGTTTCTATTCTATAAGTACAGTATCTGAGAAACTTATGCTGAACACTCTCAACAGAACCAATGTGATTCAGAAAATATGGCGACCATACCCCCGAACAGTACTCCAAGGTGGACCTAACCAGAGAGCAATATACCAGCCCAGTAGACTCTACTGAAAAATATTTGCAATTTCTCAGAATAAAGCCCAGCATCTTTGAACCCTTCACCGAGATTGTATTAGTAAGTTCAATAAATGATAACTTTTCATCCAGAATCACTCCTAAATCCTTAACCCTAGACACAATGCAACTCTTTATTATCAATCAAGTAACCACTCTCCACTCTACATGCTTCACGGGAAAAGCTAATAAAACAGCACTTATCCACATTCAACTGTAGCTTATTACACACCACCCAGCCAACCCATCCAGATCTGCCTGCAAAAGTTGTTGGTCCTCTATACCCTCTATAGTCCTCTACAACTTGAAGTTGTCAGCGAATTTTAACCCCTTGCTGTTATGAATACATTCTACAATGGCACTGATAAAGATGTTGAAAAGCAATGGAGAGCAGTGGCCACCCTGCGGGACACCAGAGGAAACGTGGACCGCCCCCGAAAAGAAACAACCAATTTTCACATATTAAGTACGGTTGATTAATGAACCTTCAATCCATGAACAAAAATTATAATGAAATCGAACCTTGCGTAGCTTATACAAAAGCATCTGGTGGTCAACACGATGAAAAGCTTCAGAAAAGTACGTGTAGATCGCATCAACCTGCTTGCGTTCTTCCATACTTTGCAAAATATCTGTTTGATAAACTACTAAATTTGAGGCAGTGGACCTATCCTTAGTGAACCCATGTTGCTCCTCCGGACACAATACCTTACATGCCCAGACACTTCTGTAATTTGCAACATTATCCGTCCGGCCGCTTTTGAATATTGGTACAATATAACTTACTTTCCAGATGCCAGGATAAACAAATGTTTGCAATGATGTATTGAATATAAGAAACAGAGGCAACATAATAGTATAGACGCACTTCCTCAGCAAGTAGTTAGGTACCCCGTCCGGACCTGTGGTTAGTTTATCAGGTAGAGTAGAAATCTCGACAAAGATATCCGACCTTGATATTTTAGTGCAATTAATATTATCTTCTGTGTGCGAAGTGCTGCGACTTGTATTTACAGGACATGTTGGAGCTACAATATCTACGCCCCCTAATGAATTAAATCTTTCACTTTGCAAAGAAAAGCTTATTTTTTATTTTACTAACAGTGGATTCTACACTGGCACAAATAAGAAATGCAAGTATATTCAAAATTAGATTGTATATCTAGTTTTTGGCAACTTCCATTAGTATCAGAAGTTTCAAAGCACTGCCTTTTTAACACCTTTTGGAAGGTACATTTACAAGAGAATTCCTTTTGGATTTACACTTCAGCTCCAGAAAATTTTCAGAGAACCATGAATAGACTTTTCAATAACCATGAAGGGGTATTTAGTACACATTGATGACATTACAGTTTTTGGAGATAATGTTGGACAGCATCTCATCTCACAAAATTTCTTAAAAATATTGCAGATGAAACAAAATCTCCACGTGAACTTTTGAAACGTAACAATACTTCTGAGTCGAATACCAGCGCCGCCGGAGGCAGACAATTTTTTTTTTTGAGTGCCACGCCCAAAAACGTTCATTTTGACTATTTCGAGCCGGGTACGAAATTGAAAAATATACCTAACATACCTAGGTGCCTGCACTGAAACTGTTGGTTAAATTGTTAGCAGAGTATTCACCTAGTGCTATTGGATGGTTCGGTTAGTAGTTATTCTTGCAGATAAGGAACAAAAATGAATATTTTGAAAAAACAAAGCAATAGTATTTAGGTATTCAGAAAATATTTTGAAAAATGCGATCCAATGAGGGCTGTGTAGATAAGACCTAACTGTGAAAAGCAAAAACATTGAGCCAAGCCAACACACTGACTGTGCACTTAACTTTCTATTTATGCTATCGGGAGATCGGGGCTTATTTTGATTTTTCAAGAGTTTTTTAAAATTCAGCTTAGGTTTTTCTTTATTAGACGTGGTTATTGGGAAATTCGTAAAAAGTTCCACTTGAATCAATGCTTGAACCATGAATAACAACTGCACACCTGCTAGGATAGGCCCTGTTTGCAAGGCGGGTTCACTATTCGGCGAAGCCATACGTTTCGTTGTGGAACATGGAGTGACATGTGCATAGAGCAATAAGAGCTCATGAAACATGAAATCTTCTAGTGGGATCACTAGGGATCGTGGTACCAGCGACGCTAACCTGCCAAGATGGACTTTGGGAATGGCAACGCACAGAAAGATTTGCGATGTTGTGGAAAAATTCAGCGAAATTGATTTTGCATCATCAGAGCAACAGATAAATACTCAAAAATGTTCACGAATGCTGAGCTCATTTCCTTGAGCACAGGAGCGTGGGTGATGAAAAAATAAACTGCCACATGTCTGGAAGAAGGTATCAAGTGTATTGACCAAATGTTGGCAATTGTTGGTAACAATTTCCAGTTAGTTAAATTTGAGCGTAACAATAAGGTGTTATCACTTGCCACCATGAAATCTTCGATAATGGTTCATGATCAATCTGTAATTGTTAAATCCAACTACCCTATTTTAACGCATGAGTATTGTTAATAGTCAAACGATGAACTCGAGGAGTTCTTGACACACGAATTGAGTTCCTTTTTACTTGCTCTATTTAATGAAAAACAAGGTGGAATAATGAGGAAAGGGACAAAATCGTCACTGTATAAGGCTTTACAGGCAGAACACATCTATATTGGACAACTATCTACGATACGTGGTTGACGGTGGTTTTCTCCTGCACAAAGTTGTGTGGCCTGAAAAGACATTTAGTCTTCGACGGCTACTCTGATGCACAGAAAGGAACTAAACAAATGGAGAGCTTTAGAAGATCCGAGACGCAGTCAGTTGACATCTAAGTCAATGAAAAAATGGTGCCCACAGTCCTCCAAGAGAAATTTCTATCCAATACTAATAACAAATACAGATTCATTAGAATCATCATTACAGAAATTCAGTGCATCCCAAATTGACACTAAGTAGGCAAGTGAAGATGCAGACACTCTGATTGTGCAAACAGCCCAATCCCTTGCTACAAAGCACGGAAACTGTTATAGTTGTTTGAAAGGATATAGATCTCCTGGTCAGTATGATTGGAACCATGACGTCTCCCAATGTATATTTTTTGAAACCAGGCAAAGGCAAAAATCATCCCATCCTCCAAGCGCCATCGAGAAATGCCTGGCAAAACACATACTATTCATGCATGCTGTCAGTGGTTGTGACTCCACATCTGCTCTTTTTAAACAAGGGAAGTTTATGAAAATCCTCACAAGGTATGCTGACCTCTCAGTCTACATCTGACGTTTCAGAAACCCTCTTGCCACATCAGAAGAAATTTCGGAGGTAGGGGAAAAATTTCTAGTGGCCTTGTATGACGGAGACCATCGCACCACTTCAATAAATAAGCTGCGGTACAAACAATATGTGTCATTAGCATTCAAGATTAGCGGAAATGTAGCATCCGTCGCCCCTACTAAAGCTGCAGCCCAGCAACACAGTAACAGGGTATTTCACCAAGTACAGCAGTGACTCGGAAATATTCAACCACCTGAGCAATCGGGATGGAAAATTATTAAAGGTAACTTGATTCCCATTACGACGCTTGAGCCCCCAGCCCCAAAGAAGCTTCTGAAACTCATTGCCTGTAAGTGCCAGAAAAGGCTGCAAGGGCAGTTGCGGATGCAAAAGAATTGGGTTACACTGCTCCAGACTTTGTTTGAATTGTGAAGGAAGCTGCTCCAAATAGAAATACTCAGTGATTTAGAACAGTTCCAGAACTCTACAAGATAAATTAGAACACTTTAGAACTTCAATATGCCATTTAGAACATTCCAAAGCACTTTCCAGCAGCATTTTCAGCTCTTGAACTTTTTCATTCCAAGTTCTAACATTCTCATCATTCTTGTATTTTAGAATTTTAGGTTGTTGATTTGTTTTTCAATTTTTACTCCTGGCTTTGAAAATGAATACGTCTTTAGGCAAACGTCTGAAACACATTGGGTTTTGTAAGATATGATGTCTTTGAGATATTTTGAAGACATAAGCAGACGTCTTGAATGTCTTGTGTTTATAAATTACTCAGCTATTTATACTGGCCTGAAAAGTTGATTGAGTGATTTCAGATATTTTCACAATTCTGGCTTGGCAGTCAATATATGGGTACCTCCTACATATTTTTTTGAATATTCAAATGCTGATGAAGATAAGATTTTAAAAAATATATATATAATATATATTTTCATTGAACAATCATTGTGTCAGTTCTATTTGACTGTCTTTGTTGAATAATACATATTTATCAAGAGGCTTAAAATGTGTAAATTATGCCCCTTTATCAACCAAAATTATTAGAAAAAAAAATTCAAATGACCTCCATAACAATGAGCACATCTTAAATTGCATTGTGGGCGTTCAACTGCTATAAAATGATGTTGATTATTCACTTACAGCTGCCGGTTCTTCAATCCACTCGTCCATATTTTTGTAAATGTGTTCCACAGCATGTTCATTGGGAATAGTGGCACAATTTCCTATTGGAGATTTTATAATGCCGCTACTGATTTGTCGGATCTGATTGGAAATTCTCAATTGATGTTTGCTACTGGTCTTACAGTTTATCTGAAAAGTGAAATTGTTTTATTTGTTGGCGAAGGATGTCAATATAATTCTTACCGAGTATGTTCGCTTTTCGAACTTTCCATTGCCCATAAAAGTCAGTAATCCTATTACTCCAACTTGGTTTGGTTGTACGAACGGGTTAAGTGGGAACCGCTTCAAAATTATCCTGGACATTTTTGTCAAATTATATCACAGATAAAGGAATCTGAAAAAAAATTGTACAGTTTAACTAATCACATAAAATTCATTACTATTATTAGATTAGTTAGATAAAAATAGATTAAAGTCAATAACTGGAATGAAAAAAAAAATCGCTTACAAAGTTCTAGTACTGTTTAACAATTATCAATACTGTCTCCTGTTGTTATAAATACACTATAGGGGCAAATGCTGATAAAACTTATCTGTGGCGAATCGTGTTGTCTATCTAAAACACCTTTGGACTTCGCTGTTTCAGTTCAAAGGCTCCAGACATCATAATTATTTTCGATGATTAAACCCAAACGCGTTTTATTTGAATGTTTTTTAATATTATTGTTACCCACACACTTGTTATTGTGTTATACAATTTTAGATTGAAATGTTTAAATGGCTCAATTTAAAAACGGTGAATAGATGCCAGGGCCTCCGGAGAGATGTTTTTGTTTTGAAAGTTGTTTTTAACGAGATCGGTTTTATAATTTGTGTGTATGTTTTTGAAATATATATTTAAGAGCAAAGTCTAAAGTTTGTTAAAATCTGCGTTCGACTGCTATTTAATTTATCTCTTGATTAGGTTACAATATTATTATCTATATGATTATAATCAATATAGGTAATCTCATGTTCAAGTAATGTAAAATGTATATCTCATTGATGCGTAAACTCTCAGCTCAACTATATTATGTAGCAGAGTTTTTGGCCCTGAACATTTTTGATCATCAGACATTGCCTTACAAAATCGCCCATAACTCTAATAATATTCTACAAATTCTGTTACATATTTATATGTTCTTAATCTAAATTAGATGCTCTTTAAGACAAAACAAAATTGAATCATTTATCTCAAATAGTTTTCGAGCTATTGGGCCTCAAAGTTGAAACTTTGTGTCAAATTTTGGAAAACCTTCAAAGCCGATTATCTCGAAAATGAAGCCCTAGGGCTCGGTGCCCCAAATAAGTTTTTTTGAAGCCCCAAGTGAGATCTACAATTGTGCCGATAATCTTTCTGGTTCTCAAAATATGGCCCTTTGAAATATTTAAAAATGAAATTTCCTTGCAAACCCCTTGGAAAAATTTCAATTTTGATTTTTTTAGATTTTTTAATTTTTGATTTCGCCAATCGAAAGAGGAGGTCAAATTAAGTAAAAAAGCATTCCCGTGATTTTTCTCCTTGAGATTTTAGGGCCTGTGAAAAATTATAAAGGATTTTGACATTTTTTGCCATGAAACATTCTGATCATCCGACATTGTCTCACAAAATCGACCATAACTCGAGTAATATTGTAGAAATTCTGATACATTTTCATATATTTTCAATCAGAATTGAATGCTCTTCAAGATAAAATCAAATTGAATCATGTATTTGGAATAGTTTTCGAGATATTGAGCCTCAATTGAAACTTTGTCCAAAATGTTGGAAAACCTTCAAAGCCGATTATCTCTAAAATGAAGCCCTAGGGATTGGTGCCCCAAATAAGCTTTTTTGAAGCCCCAAGTGAGATCTACAATTATTGGACAAAATTTCGTATCGACAGCCTTCCTGGTTTTCGAAATATGGCCCTTTGAAATATTTGAAAATGAAATTTCTTTGCATGTATTGTACCTACTTGAACAACATATTGGTGAATAGATGGCTGGGTCCACCCATAAGTTCTGCAACAATCCACTCGTTTGTACTTGAATAACTTGTCACAATATATTACTAGTTTGGTAAAGTAACATTACTAATTCCTGTTAAAAGGCAAATTGAGAAAAAGTGGATAATCTTACAAATTCTGACTTTATATAATAAGTTATTGTTCAAGCACAAATAAGTGGATTGTTGCGAAACTTATGGGTGGACCTCTGCGGGACGAGCGCAGCGAGTTCCGCAGCCATCTGCTCACCAATATACTGTTGAACTGTTCAAGTAAGACATTCACCTGAAACGTGTAGTTTTTAAACTAATGAGAATAACTGACATTTGAGTGAGTCAGGTTAGCATCGTAATTAAACAACATATTGATGAATAGATGGCTGCGGAACTCGCTGCGCTCGTCCCGCAGAGGTCCACCCATAAGTTCCGCAACAATTCACTCGTTTGTACTTGAAATTGAATCATTTATCTGAAATAGTTTTCAAGATATTGCGCCTCAAAGTTGAAACATTGTCTCAAATGTTGGAAAAACCTTCAAAGCCGATTATCTCGAAAATGAAGCCCAAGGGGCTCGGTGCCCCAAATAAGCTTTTTTGAAACCCCAAATGAGATCTACAATTGGACAAAATTTCGTGTCGATAGCCTATCTGGTTTTCGAAATATGGCCCTTTGAAATATTTAAAAATGAAATTTCCTTGCAAACCCCCTTAGAAAAATTTCGATTTTGATTTTTTTAGATTTTTTGATTTTTGGCTTTACCAATAGAAAGAGGAGGTCAAATTTAGCAGAAAAGCATTTTCGTGATTTTTCTTCTCGAAATTTTAGGGCCTGTGAAAAATTATAAAGGCTTTTGACATTTTTTGCCATGAAACATTCTGATTATCCGACATTGTCTCACAAAATCAACCATAACTAGAATAATATTGTAAAAATTCTGATACATATTCACATATTTTTAATCAGAATTGAATGCTCTTTGAGATAAAACAAAATTGAATCATTTATCTTGAATAGTTTTCGAGATATCAAGCCTCAAAGTTGAAACTTTGTCTCAAATGTTGGAAAACCTTCAAAGCCAATTATCTCGAAAATGGAGCCCTAGGGCTCGGTGCCCCAAATAAGCTTTTTTGAAGCCCCAAGTGAGATCTACAAATGGACAAAATTTCGTGCCGGCAGCCTTCCTGGTTTTTGAAATATGGCCCTTTGAAATATTTGAAAATGAAATTTCCTTAGAAAAATTTCAATTTTGATTTTCTTAGATTTTTTAATTTTTCATTTTACCAATCGAAAGAGGGGGTCAAAGAAGGTGGAGAAGCATTTTCGTGATTTTTCTTTTTGGTTTCAGGGCCTGTAAAAAATTAAAAATGATTTTTGCATTTATTTTCCCGATGAAAAATTCTGATCATCTTAGGGCTTGGTGCCTGGTACTGGTTTCATCCCTTTGTAATATGTGTAAAGGTAAAATGCTACATTATAAGCTTCACAATAATCCTCTAAAACTCAACATTTCTAATGATATAGAATTGCATTTACCAAAAAGCCATATTTCATTCCACTTGTTCAGCAAATCCTAAAGCATCAAATTCAAAGTCTAAAGTTTAATAAATTTGCGTTCAACTGCAATTTATGATTAATTTTTAAATTGAGAATTAATTTTTTTTCCTCTTAATCTCATGGGGTCAACGCAAACAAATTAAGTTGTTAATTTATAAATTCCATCAGTTATTGTTAATTGTTTAAAGTTCACTCTGTTTTCTTTTCTTGTGCGTCACTTTAACAACTTAAACAAGTGTTTTAAACTATGAACTTTGACTAAAATATAATCCACTTACCGAAACTATCAATCATTTGAAAAGAGAAACGTTATTTTTAGGTTCAATGTTTACAAAACACTGAAGGGCAAAACACCCTTTGCACAAAGGGCCTTGGTGTATTTAATTTTAGAGAGCTCATAATGCAACACATTGCTTTACCAAAGGGATGAATTTCTGCCCTATCTTCTATAAAGTTTAATGTATGAAGTATAATGAAAAATCAATAGGGAGATGAAAATGCGTTTTGGGTTTTTAAACAAAATAATACACAAACCTTTGGACCATGTTGCCTATATGATTTAATAACCTTGACAAATTTAATAATCTATAATTTTTATCCCAATTTAAACCTGTTTTGTTGTTTATATCAAGGCAAATACATACATTTATATTATTTAAAACAATGAATCAATAAGGTTTTGGAAAATAAAAATTCTGCCTTATTATGTACGTGCATTTACTCTGTTTTATCAATCAAGTATTTTTTTTTAATGAGTCATGAACGTAAAACAACTAAAAAGTCTGATAATACCTATCGTATTTTAATTTATTGTTGAAATATAAAATATGGAATATTTAAATGTTAATTGTTTATTGATAATAAACTTCAACAGTAATAATATTATTAATGTAAATTTAATGGAAATAACTGCATTTATGTCTATATAGAAAAAGCAAACTTTCTCCAGCAAATTGGTAGATGATGATGCATTATTGAATCAGGGTCAAGTATATTATTTTGTTTTAATAATTTTATCAATAAATTATTGATAGATTCAATTTGGGGGTCTGAAGATTCATATTTTAGGACTTTAGGATGAAGACTTTGAGATTCTGCTTCTGCTGTAGAAAAAACTTTTATATAGAGACGCCAAAGATTTTAGAGCTCTTTATTTAAAGCTTTGAAGACTTTGAAGAGGCCCAAAGCCCATGATTCATCAAGACTAAAATACCCTGCTTATTTAAGACTCAAAACTCAAAGCCACTGGATGGAGTTCGGGGGGTCTCGAATGATCATTTAGACACAAAATCTTAATCCAGTAAACTTTGAAATTTCATCATTTAAGTACTAAGGTAGCTAGATACCTTATGATTTAATTTTTTTTTTTAAATCATAAGTTTTTTCTATTAGAGATAGAAAGCTGAAATTTTCAGTGATTCTTATCCCAGTAGAGTAGAAATCAAACGAGAAGAAGCCACACGGGTGATCGTTTGTCTCACTTTAAATGGCAGGGACGCAGAGAAAAGGAAATCTGCTTTCTTTGTCAGCGCTGATGACAGTGGCTTCTTCTCGTTTGATTTTTACTCTAGAGGATTACAATCCCTGAAAATTTCAGCTCATTTGGACTTATGGTTCCAGAAATAAAATCACGATGAGCAATTTATGGGGTGGAATTTCAAATTTCTGACGTCCTTTTTTCATAGATTTCGGCTCCAAATCTCAGAATAATTAAGTGTATGGAATTTGGGGATCCCAAATGATCCTTTAGATACAAAATCTTTACTTAAAAAAAATTGAAATTTCATCATTTTAGTAGTTTTTGACAGGTCCATAAAAATTTAATTTTTTTTTTACATATCTCTCACATAATAATCGAAAATTTTAAAGAAAAAAAATTCGACAGATGTCAAATGTCAAAATCGATTTTGACAGATTAAGATGTCAGCTATCGAACGCACTTTATCTCGAATTTTTCTGACATCTCCTTGTCACTTTTTTCGAAGAAAACATTGACAAAATTACAACTATCAAATTTTTTGACAGGTCCAAAAAATTGCAAATTTTTTTTTTACATATTTATCAAATAAATTATTCGGAAAATTAGAAAAAAAAAATTGACAGGTGTCAAATGTCAAAATCGATTTTGACAGATTAGGACTTCAGCTGTCGAACACACTTTATCTCAGATTTTTCTGACATCTCCTTGTCACTTTTTTCGGGGAAAACATAGACAAAATAACACTTGTCAAATTTTTTGACACGTCCAAAAAATTTTAAACATTTTTTTACATATCTATCACATAAATTATTCGAAAAATTGGAAGAAAAAAAATTTCACAGGTGTCAAATTTCAAAATCGATTTTGACAGATTAGGACTTCAGCTGTCGAACATACTTTTATCTCGAATTTTCCTGACATCTCCTTGTCACTTTTTTCGAAGAAAACAGACAAAATGACTCCTGTCAAATTTTTTGACACGTCCAAAAAATTTTAAACATTTTTTTACATATATGTATATCGCATAAATTATTCGAGAAATTAAAAAAAATAATTGACAGGTGTCAAATGTCAAATTCAATTTCGACAGATTAGGATGTCAGCTATCGAACGCACTTTATTTCGAATTTTTCTGACATCTCTTTGTCACTTTTTTCGGGGAAAACATAGACAAAATGACACTTGTCAAATTTTTGGACAGGTCCAAAAAATTTTAAACATTTTTTTACATATACATATACCGCATAAATTATTCGAAAAATTGGAAAAAAAAAAATTGACATGTGTCAAATGTCAAAATCGATTTTGACAGATTAAGACGTCAGCTGTCGAACAAACTCAAAGTGTTTTTTCTCGACCCCAGCAGTTCGAAATGTTTTTGAAATCCGTTTTGAACCTGTTTAAAAATGACGTCATTACTTTCATTCGAGAAAAAATGAAGTTTTCAAACCAGAAGAATTTAACCATACCTAACCTAGGATTTTTGTTTGTTTTTTTTTTCTGGTAATTAGCCATAGCCTATATATTTTCTATTTTCAAAAAAAAGTAAGTGTTCTTTTCATGATTCTATAACCTCCTACAAAAGACACTACCTACGCAAATATAAACATAAACAACAAACTGTCAACTTTCCTAAACTATTGCGCATGCGCTTGTTTTTGAACCGAAGCGAAATCTCGTTTCAAAATATTTTCACTTTTGTTATGACGTCATCAGTTCAACGTGAAAATGTAATATTTTCAATTAGGTTCAACCTGGTTAAACCAAATTAAGCGAGAATAAACACCTTTTATCTCGAATTTCTCTGACATCTCCTTGTCACTTTTTACGAAGGAAACGTGGTCAAAATGACAGCTGTCAAATTTTTTGACAGGTGAAAAAAATTGTAATTTTTTTTTCAACTGAGTGAATCAGGTTAGTATTGTACTTGAACAATATATTGCTGAATAGATGGCTGGGTCCAGCCATAAGTTCTGCAAGAATCCACTCGTTTGTACTTGAATAACTTGTCACAATATATTACTAGTTTGGTAAAGTAACATTACTAATTCCTGTTAAAAGGCAAATTGAGAAAAAGTGGATAATCTTACAAATTCTGACTTTATATAATAAGTAATTGTTCAAGTACAAATAAGCGGATTGTTGCGGACTTATGGGTGGACCTCTACGGGACGAGCGTAGCGAGTTCCGCAGCCATCTACTCACCAATATACTGTTGAACTGTTCGAGTAAGACATTCACCTGAAACGTGTAGTTTTTAAATTAATGAGAATAACTGACATTTGAGTGAGTCAGGTTAGTATCGCAATTAAACAACATATTGATGAATAGATGGCTGTGGAACTCGCTGCGCTCGTCCCGCAGAGGTCCACCCATAAGTTCCGCAACAATTCACTCGTTTGTACTTGAACAACTTGCCACATTATGTTACTAGTTTGGTAAAGTAACATTACTAATTCCTGTTAATTTGGCTTTTTCAACAGGAATTAGTAATGTTACTTTACAAACTAGTAACATAATGTGGCAAGTTGTTCAAGTACAAATAAGTGGATTGTTGCGGAACTTATGGGTGGACCTCTGCGGGACGAGCGTAGCGAGTTCCGCAGACATCTATTCACCGATATCCTGTTGAACTGTTCAAGTAAGACATTCACCTGAAACGTGTACTTTTTAAAGTAATGAGAATAACTGACATTTGAGTGAGTCAGGTTAGTATCGTAATTAAACAACATATTGATGAATAAGATGCGGCTGCGGAACTCGCTGCACTCGTCCCGCAGAGGTCCACCCATAAGTTCCGCAACAATTCACTGGTTTGTACTTGAATAACTTGTCACATTATGTTACTAGTTTGGTAGAGTAACATTACTAATTCCTGTTGAAAGGCAAATTGACAAAAAGTGGATAATCCTATAAATTCTGACTTTATATAATAAAGTTATTGGAAATGTGAAATGTTGCATGCTTCCATCAGCTTTTTTCAAATGGGATGCCCCATATTTGGTTCTATATTCTTGAAGAGCACAATTTCCCGATTCCAAAATTAGTTTGTCTATATTTGGTTGAGCCGTCTCCAAAATATTTGGTACTGAAAATTTTAAAAATACTATCAGAGAAATCAAGTACATAGAGCAAGTACCTCAAATTTTACCTGCAGCTTTCACCTATACAGGTGATGGTTCACAAAATCAGTAAGATGATAGTATTTTTATAATTTTTGGAGCCGAATATATGAGAGACTGTTCAATCAAATAAAGACAAACTATATATTTTTGGAATCGGGGACATTGTGGTCATAGAATGAAATATAGGGCATCCCATTTGAAAAAAGCTGGAAGCATGCAAAATTTTACATTTCTGACATTCAAATTTTGTTTCTGACCATAAGTACTAAAAATTCAGCCTGAGCTCATTTGGACTCGCGTTATATAAGCAATTTGGGGTGGAATTATCAATTATTTAATTTTCTGAGGTCCTTTTTTCATAGATTTCGGTATGGAGTTTTAAATAAAAAACGTAATTTGAGTGTTGAAATTTGACTGCCTTCAATGACAAACATTTCAAGGCTCAATAAAAAAATGCACAAAATGAGCATAGCAAATGACATAGGTAAACAGCATGAATGTTGAAATTAAAAAAGTAGCAAAGAAAAGAGAAAGAAGGATATAGCCCTGAAATGAGAAAATTGATTGATTGATACAATTTTCAAAAAACTTATAAAGAAAAATTATGAACCAGTAATACCTATGAAACTATAGTTTGTTTCACTTTGCGATCATTTAACATGTTTTTGAATTTAAAATAACTGATGTTTGAGGGTGGCTCCATCTAAAATTCAAAAATTTCAAGTATAAATACAATATTTGAATATATTTATTTTTTAATACACGCATTTCATAAACCTGATTTATTTACCTTTAACCGCTGATAGAAAACAACAAATACAAAGTCCATTTTAGTTTTTATCTTTCCGATATTGGGTAAACAATTAAAACTCGTTAACATTGATAATAGTTTGCACACAGATTGTCGTTATTTTGCCACAAATTGTATATTTTTGTAAATTGACCTAAATTTTGAAAATAGCGTTTCATCTTCAGTATAATCATACGGCCACGTGGATGTTATTTGAAATAAATGCATCCTAATTATAGTGCAATCAGTGCATAACGAGGGCGGTCAAAATCTCTTTTTGCTGATAACAAGTGAAAGTAACGAATAACAATTTGAAAATGCACAAATCAAAAATTTTATATATTGTTAATTGTTGACATTAATTAGCACTCACCTAAAAGAATTCAAATAAAAATCAACGAGACACCAAAAATATTTTTTCTCCTAGTAGGACAACACTTCAAGTATATATACAAAAACTTTTAAAAATAAATGTTTATTATGGTACGATGGACGAAAAGTATTTAAGACCGGGCACACACAGAGCTTTAAGGCAGGAAAGCTTTTGCTTTGGGTAGGGTATCATTTATAAAAGCTGGGTTCATTCAAACACAAGTCCAAAGTCCGCCGCGGTTTTCACCAAGGCGAGAATTAGTACTAGTAAGTAGTATAGAATTTGTGATGGTGAGAGAGAGGTTGTTGGCCAATGGCGTACCTACCTACTATCGGAAAAAAATTATCAGTAACTGGCTCAGCAATAATAATTGCATATTTTTATATACCTTGTGGATTTAATACTTTTACGACAGAAATAGAAAGATGCTAAAAGATCTGTTACTGAGACTTTACTCTGACCCCTTTGCAAAATCAATTACCTACGCCATTGAACGTACCTAAAACTCCCCCTACTATAATATTTTATTTTAGTATAGCTACTTCAACAGGTAGAATAGAGGCAAAGTCACAGATACCTACCCCAAATCCATTACAAGTTACAATAAACCCATATGTTGCATGAATTATTATTGAAATTCATGCAGTTTAATACATACAGACTTTTGCAATCAATCATTTAAATTAGCATTATTATGTAGTCTAAACAATTAAAAACTAAAAACAACAAGTCCAAAGTTCAAAAAATCCTGCCTCTATCAAGCGTGTATGGAGAAATTCGATTGGTTAAATTCTTTTAAAAATACACACCTGAAAAGCGGCCCAATGGGAATCGAGCGCACCAGCTGCTGATTTAAAAATACTTATCCATGGGTGCAGGTTTGGGATTTTTAACTTTGTAATAATTTACTGTTAACTAACAGGTTGTTTAAACCTGATATAGACTTCTATGGTTGGTCAACTTTCCTTTACTTGAAATTTTAATTTTTGTTGACCCTCAAAGTGATTACAGAAGTTATGAATTTTATGAATGGATGAAAATTTAATTTTTATGTGTAGATATTTTAGTCGTTTTTCTATATGAGCACACAATTCTCGACATGTTGCCGCGATAATCAATTTTTGATTAATGTTATTCTGCTCAATTATAATTTTCGTTTGTTGATTATCTTGAATCGTCATGGTCCAAAGGCAATATGAGAAAGATTTTTTGAAGTTTCTGAGGTAGTCTGGATTCCAATTTCAAAACTATTGAAAAAAATATATGGTAATTTCTTGAAGTCTAATAAAAATTAGCCAATACCGCTAAGGTATTGTCACGGTTCTAGCTTGCGTGACATTAAATCTTGGGTTCGTTTTTTCTAAAATCAAAGTCCAATTAACACAACAATAATAATTTTTTCCACGTTACTACACACTCTTACACTTATTACTTCACTAATTCAAGAGCTTCAAATAGAAACAAAATACACAATACTTTGTTTGTCTATCAATTTTCGCTTGTTTGCTCTTGCAATTTCTTCTCTCAATTTTTTTAGCTCAATTTTTCTCTATTCCCGGCTCTTGAATTTGAATAGAGAAAGTTCAAGAGCCTGGTATAAAAAAAATACGAAGATGCTGATCATTTGAAATATTAAAAACTAGTAAGTGCCTAAGGGACGAATTTATAGTCGTTCCTTGAAGTTGCGAGTTTAGAATGGACACGTGTACTGTGATGGACACTTCCTATACTATTTGACTCAAACAACTTAATTCTTCACAACTTTACATTTTTACAATATTCACTATCTAAATCATATCACAGCCAATCTTAAAACTAAAAACTACATTACTAATACCGGCCTTTATGTATCCGTAATCCAGCAACTTGTACATTCTCAGGTTTTCCTGGATCTTAGAATCTCTGAGACCATCAATAAACGCAGATACTGTCATGCATTTCTGCACGTCTTTCCCAGCTACAGGAAACGCCAAACTCACTAGCTTTTTTACTTCCGATTCGAATTCTTGTAAACTCTCGTCGGGTTATTGAATTCTTGATTTCACTTGAGATATAAATACTTATGTCTATAATGGTCTCCGAAACGCAATTCTAACGTCTGATTTAGATGCTGGTAGTTCTGTTGGTAGATTGAAGGAATGGACTGAAGAAGATCTAAGGCAGGTCCTCGTAGCGCCACTATCTGTGCTGTAGCTTTTTCTTGAACGTTTCATCATGGTGTTTACAGTGGCTTCAAATTATCGGATATACATGGTCCAGGATGTTGAACCGTCAAACGTTGGTGGTTTTATCTTCATACTAGAGAATGCCCCAACACTAACTGGATTGATGGACTGTATTTCTAATTTATTCACCTTTTCTTCAAGTGCTTGAACAGCTTGACCTTGGTCCTCAACTTCTTGTCTTAATTGCTGAATATCGTTTTTAACTTTTTGAACATCTTCTTTACCTTCGGCTTTAACTTCATTAATCTTTTGTTTCAGGTTAACGAAAGATCCTTGTATGGTTTGTAATATTTTCTGCAGTTGTCCAATGTCTTCTTGCCGTTCTTGTTGTCGTCTAGTTTCTTCTTCTTGTTTTTCTTTTTGTCGTTTAGGCATTATTCGTCTTGTTTTTCTTGTCGTTTAGCTTCTTATTCTTGTTTTTCTTTCAGTCGTTTTAGCCTCTTCTTGTTGTCGTCTAACTTTTTCTTCCTGTTTTTCTTTTTGGCGCCTGGCCTCTTCGTTTTGTTTTTCTTGTTGTCGTTTAGCTTCTCCTTCTTGTTTTTCTTTTAGTCGCCTCGCCTCTTCGTCTTGTTTTTCATGTTGTCGGTTGGTCTCTTGAAGTTCCATCATTTTGCGCAGAACTTCTTTAATTTTTTGTTCTTCCATTTTTGCTCGTTGTCTCGTAATAGGCATATACAGAATGTTCTGGAATTTCCCGCAAACTTTCTTCAAATATCTTTCTTGGTCTTTGCTTGAAGTTCCAAACACGCCGATGAAATTACAAATTGGATAACTTGCTTTATCCTCGAATAGAATGTTCTAGAATTTTCTTGAAATGTCTTTTTACTCTTTTCTGGATGTCGATTGATATAGCGAACATTAGAATTTTTCCGTAACTCCTCGAAATTCTTTTTCTGAATGACGATTGATGTTTCGAATACGTCGGCGAACTCAGAAATTCGATATCCCCTTTGGTTTCCAAATAGAATTTTCTAGAACTTACTCGAAAACTCACTATTACAGTCAAAATCGGGTATACAGTAACTTCCGGGGTAATTTAATTTACAGGATCGGTTAAGTCTGCGCTCTTTTGGTGATTGTCACTGCTTACACTGACGTCCGTTTATTCCAAAATCAAAGTCCAATTAACACAGCAATAACGACTGACACTAATTACTTCACTAACTAACTCAAACAACTCAACTCCTTTACAACTCTTAACAATATTCACTATCTTAATCGTATAACAGCCAAACTAACTTGAAAACTACAAACTAATACCAGCATTTACTTCATATACCCCTAATCTATTTTTGCAAATTCTAGAATAACCGCAATCGACCTTGTTCCCGAACATAGTTTGGTTGGATTCTCGACATACTGGCGGATGCGTTATCCTGGCAAATGCGTTACCGTTACAATATTTATGTTATTCAGGCATTATTATGTTAGGAACATTTATTTATTTTTTCAATTAGTGTTAATTTGTGAATTTTTCATTTCTCATTGAAAACGTATTGAACAATTTCATTCTACACTATAAGACGTACATTTTGCTGTAAGAACGATATTCTTATCTTAATTCGTTCCACAGGTAGAGCTATTTCAAAATTCCAACCCTTCTGGGGCAGTGGGGGTTGAACGATGCTTATTTCAAGATGTCGAGAAAGATTCAGTATGATACAATTGAACATGCCCACTTCAATCAATAGGTTCCCACGACAATCCCTATGCGCCTTCACTATTTATAGCAAAACAACACCTGCCAATATTGAAATAGGTCCTTTCAATAATTTAAAGTACGCTACATTTCCCATCTTTGTTTGAAGATCAAGCCTTTATTGGTGCTTTTAGCACTCGACCAAATTGCGACAGTTTTGGGGTAGCTGGAACCCCTTGAGGCCTTTTACCAACAACACTTTCTATTCTAGGGTTCACACAACTTATTAGTGATGTTACAGAGTTTTGAAAACTAATTGGCGGTGGTTCTTCAAGATAAGGTTTGGGTAGTACCTGAGGTAATATATTTATGTGTGATTAAAACTCCCTATTAGAGGTAGTTACCATTGCTCATTGCTCCAGTTTCAACTGGCACTAGTTCAACTTGATTTTGGACTATACCTATCGACTCATTTAAATCAGATTTTAGAGAATCCGCATGAACAAACTAATAAGAGGTCCAACTTGCACCAAATAGATACAAAAACTGAAAATTTTCACAATTTTGCCTTTTTGCCATCTCGTTTTAAAAGTACTGAAATAAAATACAGAATCATACGTACTTTTAACTTTTGATTTATTTATATTTGGAATACAGTGACTCAATAGTGGCGACAAAAATTATGCCGTCCTATTTTCGATTGATTCTTTAAAATCCTATATATTTATATTGAAAATGAGCAAGAATATGGCGGCGGAAGCGTGGCTCACGCATTGAGGATCCAAGGATGATACACTACACTAGTCACTACTACTACGACAGACTACAGGATGGCCTATCCTCTATCCATCTATGCTCTATCCTCATAAGGCCTGTGAGTGTGTGTGTGTGTAACCGTAACAAATCCCCCCTTCCCCCCCGCCTCATATCAAATTACCAGTTGTGACGTAGGCAACATGTTATTTCTCGCCTTGACGTAGGCTGTTTAAACAGCTGACGACTTAGTTATGACGTCGGAAATGGTAACACACCAATATGGCGACGATTACCAAAAACGAGGCCGATAAGCAATCCTATAAAGTCTGTTTTTTTTTTAAAGATAATTCCCCAAGTCAAAAATTTAGTAACTATGTTGGCAACAAAAGTCTTTTCTACATAAAAAATTTGAAAGTTGACAATTTTACATTGTATTGCCAACATTACATTGTATTGCCAACATAATGTCAGTTTGACTTTTATCTTTAAAAAGAAAACAGATTTTATATCATCGTGAGGCTCAAGATCTCTATTTAGTTTCGTTTCTCGCCTTGACCTTGACGTAGGGTGTTTGCACAGGCTATGATTCCGCGGGGTTTTTCTTTATGCATACTTGGTTCTAGTACATTAATTAATATAATCTAAACATCTTTTTTTTAGATCTCGTTTGCATCTTTCTGTTTGCCTATTATGTTAATGAAAATTAATGCTCACAATATGAGGTGGGTTCGGCTTACTCACTCCGTGCCCTCCGAGTAACTCCATTCGCACTCCAGCCGTTCGGGTTAAGTTTCGGATACAGTGTTGCCAACAGTATTTTTTTAATTCCGTCAACTTTGCTGTAGATTTCCGTCAGAAATCCGTTAAACCATTTTTTCTTCCGTCAATAAAATCCGTCAGAATGAAAAATGCGAAATGCGCTAATTGTCGACAATGCCATTTGATTTTAGGCGTTTTCAGAAACACTGATCCAATTCACCCGATCATCGGCTGTTTGTATTTTATCCTTTTCTAATGAAACCATTGAAAAAAGACAGATAACATCAGCTAGTGATCGGGCTAGTCGGATCAACGTTTCCGTAAAGGCTTGTTTACAGACCAACAGTAGCTTGAATCGCTTTATTACATTTAAGTATAGAACATAATTTAGAATTTTCAAACGGAAACTTACGGGTCAATTCTGTGCACATCTGTAAGCAAATCTATAAATTTCTATAAGCCTATAGACACTGCAAAACGCATCGATTGCCAAACAACCGATCAGGAATATTTACGATTCTATGAGATATTCTGTAATCTATACAGAAAGTGCAGAACTGAAAATTGTCTATAGGCAGCTATAGGCTTACAGAAATTTATAGAATAGCTTACAAATGTGCACATAATTGACCCGTTAAGCTGAATTTTCGCGACGAAAGTAGTTCATCAATAGTTAATCTTGTGACGTCATGAGTTTGAAAGCTGGCTAGAAGCTGCGTCCATGCTTCCGGCGAACTATAAAGTTCAATATGACGTCATGAGTTTCTCACGAAAGCGTTTGTGTTCATGAAATCATGGAAGTAGTTCGTCGCGAAAATTCGGTTTTAGTTCCCGTTGAAAAACCCGTCACCCGTTGAAACTGTTTTTTTTCCGTTCCCCTTCACCAAAATCCGTTAGATATGACGGGAAATCCGCTAAGTTGGCAACGCTGTTCGGATATTGTTTTTTACCGTATTAGGGGTGACTCCATTAGCTCTGTTCACTCCACTCCAACTCCGCGCTGAATAGCCGAACCCAGCTATGGTCGCGATTCCCAAAAACGAGGCCTATAAGCAATCCTGTGTAGTAGTGTGTTTATTATCTGGGAGGCTTATTTCCAGATTCCTATTTAACAATAAGCAAGAATATGGTGGCGGGACCTTTATTAAGGCTGTTCTCACAGAAATCACAAACCTGTCAGAGCGAATTTTATTGGTTGAATGAAAATGGTCAGCGATTTGGACCAATTAAAAACGCACTGACTAGTTTGTGATTTCTGTGGAAACAGACCTATTAGTAGAAAAGGTTTATCTTGTTTATCGAGTCACTAGGCCTTAAGGAAACGCTAATCCGATTCACCAAAAAAACTAGCGCCATCTACAAACGTATCGACAAACTCTCAAAATAGATTTTCAATCTTTACGATTTTGATAATCGAAACCGCACAATTTGTTTGTCCTGTGACGTCACACATCATCCGATTTCAAAGTGAATTTTTATTCGCCGAACAAATGTGTGGTGATATTTCAAGAAAAACTGGTGAAAAATCGTGGAAATTCAAAGGATTTTCTTGGTGATGGCCGAGAATATCGAAACGTACGATCCCCCAGAGGACTACAACATGATGTCCGATCTTGGGGAAATCGATGGTAAGTTGTTTCCCATCGATTTTGCTGTATTTACTGTTTATTTACCATTTAACAAGTGTGTTTTTGTATTATTTGTTTAAGTATTTTTTGATTTGTATTTAATTTATTATCACCTGCATATACAGGGTGGTGCAGGAAAAACTTCCCACCCAGGTTTTTTCAGGTGACACATCAGTTTTTGTTTTTTTGGGGGCAACATTTTATTGGTATTTTCCTATTTTCACACCCCTAAAACATTTTTGGAAAATCAATATTGTAAACATTTTTGGGACACAAGTACTATTTTATTTATATTTACATATTATTGGAGACTTTAACATACATTTTATGAAAGAACTACTTTTATACAGGGTGTCCATTTAGTGCGATATCGGACAATAGGTATCTCCTTACAGGGTGATGCAAGAAAAAAAAAAATTACAAAGTTGTTTGATACTCTAATATGCATTAGCTAAAAATATTTTTGAATATACAGGGTGCTCCGTTTATGGGGTATGCGACAGAACTTTGTTATTTTAAATGGAACATCCTGTATGTGATTGCTAATAATGCTAATTTGGATTCTATGTAAAATTCTGAGCAGATTTCATGTAATATACCCTATACATAAGTTCAACTATTTTGGAAATATTGATAGTTGAAAATTGACTTTTTGCAAATAGACCATCAGCTAATGACAGATTTTGCTGACCGATTTTCTCTCTTCGGGGATTTCAACCAATGAAAATTATGTCAGTTCTGAGCTCAAAAGATAAAAATTTAGTGACCAGACATCTGCTAGGCATATGGAAAATGTATTTTCCTTTTGCAGAAAAAAAAAAGTTATTTTATCAATTTCTCTTTCATGGCATTTTAACACATTAACATTATAGAACTGTCTTAGTGAAAAACCAAAGCCATAAGGTTTGCACGTGCTGAAAGGGTTGAAATAAGGGCGCGATCTTGTGAAAGAATACTCGATTGCTGGTTGCTGATCGTTTTCTTGCTTATGGCAATCGACAGAATCAAATTTGATATCGTTAGGAACTAGAAAAAAAAATTCCCATAGACCGGTCAGCTGTTGAAGTATGTCTTAACTATCATATGTGTTATGTTTCTATTATTATGTAACATCCATTGGGTGGTATGAATAAAAACGAAGTACTTGCTACTTCTGGAAGTATTAGTATGTTCTACGTAGTATTTACTTCAAAACGAAGTAGATACTACATTTCGAAACTACTGAAATGTAGTATCTACTTCGTTTTGAAGTAAATACTACGTAGAACATACTAATACTTCCAGAAGTAGCAAGTACTTCGTTTTTATTCCTACCACCCATTGTTTAGTTTTATTTAATTTTTTTTTTTTTTCATACAATAACTTAAGTATTTGTTTTCGATTCATTGGGACCACCATATATTTTGTGTGCATGTTAATTAAATTAAAACCTCTAATTCTATTTCAGAAATATTAAAAAGTGATCTTTTCGAAGACGGCGGCATCCTATCCCAGCTAGGCGAACTGCAAATGGACCTGGACCTGGACAACATCCAAAACGACACATTTTTAAACCCCCAAACCTTATCTCCAAACGATAGCGCTTACCACAGCGATTCTCCTTACATTGCGACTCCAGCTTTGTCACCCCCTTACCAAACCGTACCCCCTTACCAAGTGGTGGTACCGCAAACTCAAATTAAAAGTCCTGTACTGATATCCAGCGCAGGGACGGTGCCTTCCACTACTTCTCATGTGGTTTACAGTACTTTGCCTTTGCAAAATCAGCATATTATAGTGCAGCAACAGAGTTTGAGTAAGAAGAAAGGCTCTAAACAAGCTAAAAATCCTGTTATTGTTCAGAATATTGGACAGTTGACTGCTGAGCAAGTATCACCGGTTGTACTACAGGTAAGAATTGGATTTTTTTTTTTTCAAATTCAATCAAACATGTTCTAAAATCATCTATGAGGAGTTCTGAAAAATAGTTACAGACTGGAAAACTTCAGGATTTATAAATTGGAGTTTTTTCATTTGCCACAACAAGTCGGAAGTTGATGTGAAACTCACAACTTACATTCCAAATTTTTTCTCTCATTGATTGCTATGAAATCACTTATGTATAAGGGTTCCTGAAAACTACTTTCAGCCATCATATCGACTGGAAACTTCCAGGATTTATTAGTTGGAGTTTTTCCATCATCCAAAACAAACCGGAAGTTGATATGATACCAAGGGGTAAACCACCATCCCAGAATTGGTGCAAACAATTCCTCAAAGGAGAATTTTTTACGCATAATGTCTAAAAATTCCTGCAAATTCCTCCAAATAGGTATCCCACCACGAACTTCTCCAAATACTCCACAAATTCCTCTAAAAAAAGGGAAAATTTTGAAACTTTTTGCATGTGAAGAGGAAGGTGAGAAGCTCATTTTGCCGAAATTTCAAATTTTTCTAGTAGAAAACATCAACATGAAAAATCTTGGAAATCAACCTACAAAAACTGAATTAGTTGAAAATACAGTCTCACATATTTCAAAGTTTTCCTGGAAAACTAGTAAAGGGAAAATTTTGAAACTTTTCGCATGTGAAGAGAAACGTTAGAAGCTTATTTTCCCAGAATTTCAAATATCTCCAGTAAAAAATTACATGAGGAATCTTGGAAATCAACCTACAATAACTGAATTAATTGAAAATACAGTCTCACATATTTCAAAGTTTTCCTGAAAAACTTGAGGTTGAAAAATTTTGAAACTTTTTGCATGTAGAGAAAAAGCTAAGAAGCTCATTTTCCCAAAATTTCAAATTTTTCCAGTAGAAAACAGTAACATGAAAAATCTTGGAAATCAACCTACAAAAACTGAATTAGTTGAAAATACAGTCTCACATATTTCAAAGTTTTCCTGGAAAACTAGTAAAGGGAAAATTTTGAAACTTTTTGCATGTGAAGAGAAAGGTTAGAAGCTCGTTTTCTCAGAATTTCAAATTTCCCAAGTAAAAATTACAACATGAGGAATCTTGGAAATCAACCTACAATAACTGAAAATACAGTCTCACATATTTCAAAGTTTTCCTAGAGAGAGAGAGGGAAAATTAGAAAATTTTGAAACTTTTGTCATGTAAAGAGGAAGGTGAGATCATTTTTAGAAAATTTAAAATTTTTCCAGTGGAAAATAACAACATAAGGAATATTGGAAATCAACCTACAATAACTGAATTAATTGAAAATACCGTCTTATACATTTCAAAGTTTTCCTGGAAACCTAGTGAAGGGAAAATTTGGAAACTTTTTGCATGTAAAGAGAAAGGTGATAAGCTCATTTTCCCAAAATTTCAAAGTTTTCCAGTGGAAAATTACAATATGAGGAATCTTGGAAATCAACCTACAATAACTGAATTAATTGAAAATAGAGTCTTAACACATTCCAAAGTTTTCCTGGAAAACTAGTGAAGGGAAAATTTGAAAACTTTTTGCATGTAAAGAGGAACGTGAGAAGCTCATTTTCCCAAAATTAAAAATTTTTCCAGTGGAAAAATAACATCATAAGCAATATTGGAAATCAACCTACAATAACTGAATTAATAGATAGGTAATACAGTCTTACACATTTCAAAGTTTTCCTGGAAAGCTAGTGAAGGGAAAACTTGGAAACTTTTTGCATGTGAAGAGAAAGGTGAGAAGCTCATTTTCCTAAAATTTAAAATCTTTCCAGTGGAAAATAACAACATAAGCAATATTGGAAATCAACCTACAATAACTGAATTAATTGAAAATACAGTCTTAACACATTTCAAAGTTTTCCTGGAAAACTAGTGAAGGGAAAATTTTAAAACTTTTTGCATGTAAAGAGGAAGGTGAGAAGCTCATTTTCCCAAGATTTCAAATTTTTCCAGTGGAAAATAACATAAAGAATATTGGCAATCAACCTACAATAACTGAAATAACTGAAAATACCGGGGAAAATACAGTCTCACACATTTCAAAGTTTTCCTGGAAAACTAGTGGAGGGAAAATTTTGAAACTTTTTGCATGTGAAGAGGAAGGTGAGAAGCTCATTTTCCCAAAATTTCAAATTTTTTCAGTGGAAAATAACAACATGAAAAATTTTGGAAATCAGCCTACAAAAACTGTATTCCTTATTTTTTTGAATTTTTTAAATTTGGACCTGTAAATCATAAAGTCAAATTTTGGGAGGATTTTTCATAAATTCCGACGAGTTCCTTCAAATTCCCTACGAATTCCTCTAAATTTCCCATAAATTCCTCTAAATTCCCCACATTTTTGGCAAAGAATTCCTAGGTGGTTTGCCCCTTGTATGATACCCACAACTAAAGTTACAATTTCTTCTTTCATTGATGTTTAAAAAAATCATAAAATTCCTATAAAATCACCTATGAGGGTTCCTGAAAAATACTTTCAGCCATTATATCGACTTGAAACTTTCAGGATTTAATAATTGAAGTATTTGCATTTTCCGAAACAAAACGGAAGTATATATGACATCCACAAATGAAGTTACAAATCTGTTATCTCATTGATGTTTAAAAAAGTCATAAAATTCCTATAAAATCACTTAATAGGGTTCCTGAAATAGTTATTTATGTATCAAGGGAATTATGCAGGTGTTAATACCCCAGGGCAACGTTTGTGTCCCGAGGGCCTCCGGCCCGAGGGACACCAATTGCCCGTGGGTATTAACTCCTGATAATTCCCATGGTACATAGATAATTTTATATCCTACTGAATTTACTGCATTCTGTCTATTTTTATAAAGGAATAAGCCATAAATCAAAATTTCTATTTTTTGTCAAAGTGTTACCTATTCAAGGTAAAAGCGGGAGTTATGGAAATCCTTAACTCCCTTGGGAGTTATGATATCCTTAACTCCCTTCCTTAACTCCCTTGGGAGTTTTGAAAATCATTAACTCCCTTGGGAGTTAAGACCCTGTTTATGATTATCGTAACCAAGGTATTATATGGTTTTAATAGTTCAGTAGGATATAAAATACACTTTAAGCCATCATAGCAACTTGAAACTTTCAGGATTTAATAATTGGAGTTTTTTCATTTACCAAAACAAATTGGAAGTTGATATGAAAGTCACAACCAAAGTTACGAACGTTTTCTCTAATTGATATTTAGAAAAATCATGAAATTCCTATTAAACTACTTATGAGGCTCCCTGAAAAATAATTCAAGCCATCATCGGAACTTGAAACTTCCAGGATTTAATAATTTGAGTTTTTTCATCATCCAAAATAGTCCGGGAGTTAATATGACACCCACAACTAAAGTAGCGATTTTTTTCCATCATTGATGTTTAAAAAAATCATAAAATCACATATGGGGATTCCTAAAAATACTTTAACCTATCATAGGGACTTGAAACTTTCAGGGTTTATTATTATTTGAAAAACTAATGAAATTTCTAGTCATCCTAATAATAAACACAAAGAAAGGATTCAAAAAGTTACAAGACAACAAATTCTTTAGGCAAAGCTGATCACAGCAGAAAATGCAACACCCACCTCTACAGTTATGTACACCACAGCGAATCCGACCACATCTTTGCACACTCTACTGACTGCTCCACAAATTTTAACCACTTCAGGGATTCCCTTGATGCTCGATACAGAAAACAAGGTAACTTGCCCTACTCTCTAAAAATCCCCATCATAAAGGGCTCAATTGTAGGTGGCTATAAACCGAATACATGGCAGGGAACCCAAAGTGAAAGAAGTGAAACGGAGCGCCCACAACGCCATAGAAAGAAAATACAGAACCAGCATTAACGACAAAATAGTTGAGCTGAAAAATATTGTTGTTGGGAATGAGGCAAAAGTATTTAATCCGATTTACCTTTGCAATTTCTTTATAAAATCCTCTAATTCTAGCTAAACAAATCCGCAATACTGCGCAAAACAATCGATTATATCAGATTTTTACAAAACTCAAATTCGCGTCTCAAAGAGGAAAACATGGCACTGAAAATGTCTGCTACTCAAAACACCCTCAAGAATCTCCTCACTAATAGTATTAAATACGGACCAGAAGATACTCCACCGCATTCTGATGTTTCATCTGAACATTCTTTGCCTTCTAGTCCAGAATATGCTGCCATAACTAAGGATGAAAGTGATGATGAGGTATTATTCAGTTGTTTTAATAATGTATTTTGTTTTAATGAGTAATTGTAGAGTGTTCCATTGTCAAGAGGAATGCTGGACCATTCCAGACTAACACTCTGCATGTTTATGTTGGCTATGGTTGCTTTCAATCCATTTGGTTTTGCTTTAAGTAAAATTTCAACAGGCGATAGTAATAGTGTATCTGGAGGCAGAACTATTCTTGGCTGTAAGTCTTTAACTATTTAATTAATGTTGTTTGATTGATTTATTATTATTTTCAAGGGAGTGAACAGCAAACTGTCTCATTTTCTCCCTCATCTCTTATGTTGTGGTTCTTGAACATTTTCATTCTTGGTTTTTGTCTTTTGAAAATGTTTGTTTACGGGGACCCAATTATTGCACCAAAATCTAAACAGGCTCAAAAATATTGGATTCATCGCAAACAAGCTGATATTTATTTGTTGGAGGTTTGTATGGAAAATGCACAAAAATCAATTACAATTATTATTAAAAAAAATTCTAGGGTGATAAAGCTGGTGCTAAACAAGAATTACTGAGAGCATTGCAAGCTTATGGTATTACTTTGCCTACAAGTCGTGTGGAATTGTTTTTGTGCTTTTTGTGGCAAGTTTTTAGACAGCTCATGCATCGATTATGGATTGGACGATATTTGTCTAGACAGGCTGGAGGACTTTTTGTTGATGAGTAAGTTAATAATTTAGTAGGATTTTAATTGAATGTTTTTTTTTAAGCATCACTAGGTTTGAATGTAAATCCTCCTGCAAAGAACTGGCATTGGTTTTTAATGATCTTCATAAGGTGCAGCTGATGCAAGGGCCAGAAGAAGCCTGTCACCTTTTTGGTCTGACGACTTCTTTAAACGCTGTAAATTTAGGTGAAGCTGCCAAAGGCCGCATAAAACCTGTAGACATGATTGATATTTATATTGGAGTGGCGTTAAGGATCAAGGCTAGCTTACCAGGATTTTTGCACATTATTTCAAGGTATTATTTGGGATTAGCCAAACTTGCTTCGATCAATTCTTGTGATCCAATTCCAATGAGATTGAAATGGTTATTCACGCCTCACGGATACAAATTTATTTTGTCTTTCAAATTCACTGAGCAACAATACAGACCGAAGAATTTGCCTTTTACTAAGTTGGGCAACAATGTGGATCCACTAATACAATTAATGAAGGTAATTTTTGATGATTTAACTAAAAGTTATTTAATGTTTTTTTTTTTTTAGATTTACCATGAGCATCTTTTAGAAAAAGCCTTATCGATTTTGGTAGCTCCTGGCCAGAAAAGTGAATTGAACCATGATAAGAAAACAGATTTGAATGATGCATTGACTTATTTAGAGCTTCTCAATGACAATACCAGCATTGATGCAGTGACTGTATTTAAAACTGGAGAAACATGTAAGTGTGTATAATAATTGGCTCAAAAATCCTGAAATACATTTTTAGCTTACAAAGATCATGTAGCTGAATGGTGGGGTACCTTCGTAGCTATTGCCTGTTATTGGTTGTTGCAAGAGGAAGACAAAGCCGAAAAACTGTACAAAAAGCTTGAAAATGTACCAGAAGCTCTCACTTCGTTAAACGACCCCTTGCCAAAAGCTATAATAGCTGCCTACATCGCGAGAAGGGATTATTTGACTATGAACTTGAATATTTCTCCCAAGCAGGTCTACAGGCATTGCGAGTACGCCAGTCAGTTGTTGTCGGACAGTTTGACTTACACCAGTTGCAAAAAGGAAGAGAATTTGAGTTTGGTGAGTCAAAGTTTTAATGAATTTTTATTAATTTCAGGCTTCAATGTTGGTAATGTCGGTGCATTGTAGTTGCATTGCATGTTTTTTTATAAGTGCAGTGTTTCTTCAGTGCAATCGATATTTCCAGCCAAATCATCTGGATAGAAAATGGTTCCTGTAACAGTTTTTCATTCAAATACAATCTTTTCAGTTGTCACAAATGGTTGTATGTGATTGGCTACTCGAAACTAGAACCTCTTTATGGGAAGATAGTGTTGATGGAGGTGCGAAACCTCCAGCTCCGAGCAGTTGCTTGACCGCTTTCAATAAGGATTTGGTGTCGCTTAGGTCTTTAGCGGAACATTTGCCAGTAATTTTTATTTTTCCAGTGTAGGCAAAATGCCTATAATTGATTTTTTTAAAATTTAGTTTGCCCTGTCAAGAGTGTTTTTGTACGAAGCCACCTTGAGATTAATTGCTGGAGCCGCTCCTGGTAGAACTCAGCAACTTTTGGATAGAAGTTTGAGGCACAGGCAAGGGAGAACATCTATTATTTGTAAAAAAGGTTAGAAGAATTTTATTTTTGTTCCTGTGCTAATTAATCTGTGATTGAAATTATCGTACATTGACAATATTCCAAAAATGACACTGAGACAGGTTTTGCCTCACAACTGCATTAATTTTCAACCGATTTCAATGTTATTAAGCTCTAATTGAAGCCAATTAAATTCTCTACAAACTTGTTAATTAAGATTTTTAATTCAGCTTCAACAGTTTTGCAGCTGGGAAGCTTCAAGATTGAAATTATCGTACATTGAAAATTTTCCAAAGATGACACTAAGACAGTGTTTGCCTCAGAGCTCTGTTAATTTTTATCCGATTTCAATGTAATTAAGCTGTAATTAAAGCAAATTAAATTCTCTACAAACCAGTAAGATTTTACGTTTTTGTGTCAAAACCCCACGGGGTTTTTGTGTATGCCAATCCGGCATCACAGGCACTTGGTTAACCCACTAAAAATATTTGTACCATTTTAAAAATAACTCAGAAAAAAGCTGGTTAAATGAACTCCAAAATGGCATTCAAATTGTAATTGATCTAGAATCTTGAAAATTTTTTGAGCTACAAAGCTTTGAAATCTGATGAATAATTTATCGTTGAACAATTCACAGGAGACAAGAATAACCACGAAATGGGCAACGACAGACAGCACGCTGCTGCCCTCTATATGGCCTGCAAACACCTTCCAGGTCAATTATTATCGTCCCCTGGTGAAAGAGCTGGAATGTTGGTAGAAGCAGCTAAAACTCTAGAAAGGATCGGCGATCAGAAACAGTTACAAGACTGTTACAAGTTGATGAGAACTCTTGGAACAAACGCGGTAATAACTAATTAATAATTATTTTGTTAGTTTTGTATATAGTTATTTTATATCATGACAAAATGTTAGATTAGGTTTGTTTTTTTTATATAATAAATAAAATAAAAGTTTTTTCTTGGCCACTATTTCAGTAGTTTTTTGATTAGTTTCAAAATGCTGACAACTGACTGGGTTGAAGAAAGTAATCTTTCTGCATTGGTGATTACGTTTGAGGTTGTTGCTATCCTAAACGTTGCCGCATTGCCTTTTAAAGCCTAAAAAAATGACATTAGTTTTCATTTCTCAAAACAAAATTATTATTATTATTACCAAAATTGCATCTTCATCTGTAGTATCATCGCCAGCAAATACAACATTAACGCTTCCCTGCCATTTATTTTCACCAAATTTCCTATCCAGAATCAACAAGGCCACTTTGCCTTTATTCCATTCCACTTTGGGCCTGGCCTCTAGAGCCATATGGGCATTGCCCACCTTAAATCCAGCCTTTTCTATTATGTCTCTGGCATTTTTTTCAATTTCCGGCTGTTTGTCTTCCGGAGTAGCTCTGAAATGAAACGTCAAAGACGCGCCTTTGTTTTCAATCCAGGCACCATCCCTGACAACTGATTTTTCCAGATTTGATATTAAATCTTTCACTTGGTTATCAAAATTTGTTGGTAATTGATGCACGTATTTGGAACCATCTGGGTAAATTACTTCCAAGCCGTGGTTGCCGGCATAGACAATATCATTGATACCAACCTGAAATAAATAATTGGTTAATTTTTTGGCAAATAGTTTTGTAGAATTCTTACAAGTTGTTTGACGTTTTCGGCATTTCTTCCTGAAATGATGGCTAGAAACACTTTGGGATTTTTGGATAAATCTTCTAAAAGTGTTTTAGTTTCTGGTGGAATTTTGGCCAGATCTGGATGGGCTACTATTGGTGTTAGAGTGCCATCATAGTCCAAAAGTAATGCCAGATTTTTGGTGTTTTTGAGATAACTATAAGAAATTTGATTTTAAATTCAGGTTTATATTGTCACGCTATAGAGTTTTTATAATTTACCAAAGGAAATTTTTTTGTTCAAAATGAAATATTTTAAATTTTCATTCAAAGTTCAGTTCACTGATTTATCAAAGAGTTAATAGAGAGTTATTAGACGTGTAATAAGGACAAGCAGTATTTAATTACATGCGCATTTGGATCTGAAAATAAGGCTGCCCTTAATAAGGTTACTGCTTGTCTTTATTTGTGTAGGGTTAGTGCGAGGTAGTAAACTTCCCTTATTTCAATATTTCTAACATTTTTGACGACTTTAACATTTCGCTTTTTGACGATGACGTAATTTTACTCAGAGAATTTGTTTTTTACAATAGTTTTTCATTTTATTGTAGGCAACGTCAAAAACTGGGTATCAGCAGAAATTCACAAACAAAAATAAACACTTTTTGAGGTTGAAATTCATAAAAGTAGCTATCAGCTGTCGAAATTATGAATACAAAATAAGTTTTTACTTAACACCTACTATACAGTCTTCCAATAACTGTTATTTTCTTGGATAAATAGTGCTGATGCACTAATAAAATACCGTGGATCCTTAATACTGCGAGGCAGTATTTAATAGTTCCAATAACTCTCTAATGCTAAAGAACCGAATTAAGGCAGGGACAGTAACCTCTCAGACTCCAAGAAAGTAAAGGCTATGGTCCGAATATAACCAAACGTTAACCAAAGTAACCGAATCGGTTGACAGATGGTTACTGAAAATTCCGGTTACTTGGGGAACGCAAATATGAAATAAAAAATAATTGACAGAAATTACAGATAAAACGTCTATAAGGATAAAACTATAAAACCAACAGAACCGACGTCCAATGGCCGGTAACTATTTTGACATTTGGTTAACCAGATTTCAGGAAACCGAAGTCCAAAAGTAACTACTTTTCCAGGTACTACCAGAGTAATTTGATTACTTTCGGACCGTAAAACCATTACCCTGGTTATATTCGGACCATAGCCCAAGTGTGTAATGCCAAGTTATGTCATTTCAAGTAATGTAAGTAACATCGCAACCGAGAAGATTTCTAATGGAAGACATCGACTGCAAATATATTTTTCAATGCAAATATCACAGGCATCTATGGTCTCGGCTGTTTTCCTGAGAATTCGATGACTACAACAAATTTGCTAAAGTAGTCAATAATTACTATAAAATCCAAACCATCCACTATCCAGAGATTTAAAATCGATACCAATTTTTTCCCATGGCAATTCGGGGACATTGTGAGGTGAAAGAGACTCTTTTTGGTTGTTTCGGGCGTAATCTTGACAGGTTTGACAGCAAAGTACAACATTTTCAATATCGCTGGTTATTCCTGGCCAATAAACTGTTACTTGGGATTGCATTTTACAGGATACTACGCCTTGGTGGCAATTGTGTATCAAATTTAAAAATCCTTGCCTTAAGGTTTGTTGTATTAGCAATCTTTTCTTGTAAAACAAAACATCTTTATGCAAGTGTAATGTATTTATTAATAACTTTTAACTATAAGAAATGGAGATAATTTATTTAAAAAAATCTAAAATCTGACAATCAACTATGACAACTCTAAACATGAAAGGTAGCAGGTAGCATGAAATTACAGGAGCACTCAAGTACCTAAATAAAGTTCTATGTTAAGCAAACATCTATGTTTGGCCAAACCTTATCAAGATCAATATCTTACAATTCTTCCCTTAATTAAAAAAGCTTACAAATTAAGTTTAACTGGTAGTTTAATTGACCTACCATATCTAGATCTAGAAGTCGGAGTAGTAACAGGGACAACAACTGCTTTCGGAGAATTTTGAAACTTTGTATTTGATTCTCTAGTATAGACATTAGACTGATTATTACTAGGTTGACCTAGATCAGAGTTATAGTTTGTGGACACTGGTACTTCCGCGACTTCTGTTTGAGATACATTTCCAGATACTGTGGAATTATTTGTAGACACAATGGGAACAGTCACATTTGGTGAATTTGGTATATCCAGTCTATCATTTATACTAGTAACGTTATTTCTGTTATTTATTTATTTATTTATTTACCAAAAACCTACCCAACAGGCACAAATGCCCAATTAATAGATAGGAACTAACAGGAGTTACAAAAAATTATCAGGTAAATCAGTAAGTCAGTAACATACATGACAGAATGAAACTTAAACCTACTACTTAACTTACTAATTTCAACAAAATCAAATTAAATGGTTATTAAAGTAAGCAGAAAAGCAGAAGCAAAGGCAGAACAACAACTGTCAGCAAGAGCAGCTTCAAAACGAAATGAGAGAATCAGGTTTCAAATATCGGTGGAAATAGCAAGGTATTTAATGCGGAAGTATCTTCTTAACTGTAGAAATCGATTGAGAAAAAAAATCCAAGTTAGGATAGGCGTTATATTTAGAACACATTGAGAAAATAGGAGAGAATTTGAGTGCATTTTTCCTTGTTAGAGGCAAATAGAATGTGGTATTATGGCGTGAGTTCATACGAGGTACAAAGAAACATAATCTTCCAAGCATGCCACTGCAGTCCAACAGATTATTTAGTATTTTAAACAAAGTGATTAAATAATGGTAATCATGGCGATCCCTAAGAGAAACGTAACCAAATCTCTCTAATAAGATTGTATGTGAAATGCCCTGACGAGGATATATTCCCTCACTCTTAAACCATGCATGTTTTAAAAACCTGCGCTGAATTTTTTCTAAATTATTGATATGAACGTCATAACCAGGGGACCAAATTACTGACGCATATTCCAGTTTTGACCGAACATAAGAGTTATATAATATTTTAAGTACCTCGAGGTTGGTGAAGTCCCTAGTGCAACGTACGATGAATCCGTAGCTTTTTGAGGCATCAGACAGTACTTTCTTGACATGGGGAACAAAAGAAAATCTTGAGTCAAACGTTACACCTAAATCACAAAAAGTATTGGCACGGAGAACAGATGCATCATCAAGGACATAATCATGAACAATAGTTAAGGTCTTGGTTGTAAAGGAAACTACATTACATTTCCCCATATTGAGCTGCAAGTTATTCTTGATGCACCAATCATTGATCCTATCTAGATTCTGTTGAAGAGTGAGACAATCATCCAGACACTGGACATTTTTAAATATCTTTATGTCATCTGCATACAACAAAAAATCTACATCTAGATCCCCATTAATCTCATTTATAAATATATTAAATAATAAGGGCCCAAGTATCGAGCCTTGTGGAACGCCAGAGGTGACAGAGTATTTATTAGATGTGCACCCACTAAGAGAGACATATTGAAAGCGGTTGGACAAGTATGAGACAAAGAGGTCTACGAGTGAGTTACAAAATCCACAAGAACGAAGTTTATAAATTAAAACATTATGATCCAGGCGATCAAAAGCCTTCGAGAAATCTAGATATATAACATCAACCTGAGAACTATCATCAATAGATTCAGCAATATATTGAGACACCTCAAGTAGGTTAGTGACAGTGGATCTTCCTTTAAAAAATCCATGTTGTTGGGGAATTATTTGGTTCTTGACAGCAGGAAATATCTTATCATATAAAAGAAATTCTAAAACTTTACAGAAGTTACAAATGAGAGAGACTGGCCTGTAGTTTGTGATCTCTGCTCTATCGTCTTTTTTGTAGACAGGAACAACTTTAGAAGTTTTCCATAAACTAGGGATTGTTTGGTACTTCAGGCATAAGTTGAATAGTACCATGAGTGGCCTAACCAGAACAAAACGACAATCGTGTATAAGGAATGCAGGGATAAGATCTGGGCCTGTGGTAAATTTGGGTTTAATTTTCTTGAGAGCCCTCGCAACATCATCCTCTGAAAAATTGTCTATACATATATTAACGTTATTATAGGGGGGTGTATCAATATTATTTGTTAAGTTATTATTGATTGTGCTAATCGAAAATGACTGCCTGAAAAACATGGCAAAAGAATTTAATATATCTTGTGGGTTATGTAGCTCATTACCATTATAATTCATATGATTCGGTATTCCGGCAGATTCCCGTTTGTTTTTGATAAATGACCAAAACTTTTTTGGATCATTCTTAATGTCAAGCTCAATTTTCAGAATATAATTTTTGTAGGAAATTCTGATATTAGTCTTAATCTTAGACCTCAGAGTTTTAAAATTCTGTAATTCCAATTGACTTCCTGTTTTTTTGTATTTTCTGTAACATTTATCCTTCATTTTTAAATCATATATTATGCTTGAGTTGAACCATGGGGGATAATTTTTCTTAGGTGACCTTTTGTAACGAGGAACACATGTATTGATGATATCATAAAGTTTGTCATAAAACAATGTACAGGCTGTCTCGACATCCGAGTTCTGAGAAAGAAATGACCAGTCCATGTTTAAAAATACATCATACATTAAAGGAAAGTTAGCTTTTCTAAAATTAAAATTATTTTCAAAGTTGACGGGAAAGTCGTATTTCTTCCCTGAAGAATGGGGAAACTGAAACGAGATAGAAATTGCGGGATGGTGTTTATCTTCTTGAACCAGCGCATCTAGAGCACATTCAACTATACAATATTTATTGTTATGTAGGAACAAATCTAAAATTCGGTTATTTACATTTCTAATAAAATTTCTTTGTGAGACATTCATGCAATGCATAAAATTGTTAAGTAACGTGACACACTGATTTTCTGTACCAGTGTCCAAGAACTCAGAATAAGTGGGTATATTAAAATCCCCCAAAATACATATATTCCTACAATACAAACACTCCAGTGACACTATAAAATCAAAAAGAATTTCAAGTATTGGTTGGTTATTGGTCACTTCCGGATACATTGCACTGCAGTTACGAATGTCATTTGCATGTACAAGCTTAATACTATCAGAAACTTGCACAAGATAAGTACAATAGCTCATACACCTAACTATTTTACCTTTTTGCCATAATTTAGTATGAGCATTTTTAACATATACAA